GCCGGTTCTTTTTTCATCAAAAAACCAAAGATAAAGTACAAGCAAAGACAAGTCTTACCTTACAGTAATTATGTTTTGTTGTCATAATTATTACTTTGTTTGGTTTTTAATATGTTTTTGCTGTTTTGCTGTTTTATTATCTGCAGTATGTGATTATTTTTAAAAGGGAATCTTTTTTGTCTTAAATTTTGTACAATAAAATTTGTCCTATATTCATTAAAAAATCCAATAAAAAGGTGTGCAATCCTTTTATTATTATTTATTTATTATTATTATTTATTATTCGCATTTTTATCCTGCCCTCCCCGGAGGCTCAGGGAGGCTCTGGGTCACATCTAACTATGGGGCTGGCTATAGGGATGGTGGAGGCCAGATAATAATAATATTTAATGAAGTCCTAGTTTTACATTCAAAACGCTAGCTTATCAGTAGGCTGACATTAAATTGTTCAGTAATTTGTCAGTTTTTTGTCAGGTTTTTTGTCAGGTTTTTTGGAATTTTGGTCAGTAAAATCAGCATTTTTGACCCTCTGGCTAGTTTCCACCCCTGCTCTCCCTCTCATCCCTTTTATTCTCACAAGAGCTCTGAAATGTAGGTTAGCCTGAGAGACAGTAATTGATTCAAGCAAAGATTTGAAACTAGTTATCCCCTGTCTGGGTCCCGCATTCTTAACTGCTACATCGTAACAGCAGCAGTTGGGACAGGGTTCCAGAATTTGTGACATACAATATATGCCCAATTATATATTGCCTCTATAATACTAATGTGCACATGGACATGTACCAGTATTATGGCTACAGAAATAGTTTCTGTTCATCAGCTTCCCAATATAATGGTCTGCCGTACTTCTATTTCACTGAGCTGTACGTAGCACATACTAACAAAGCTGAAGGAAGTACATCAGCAATTAGGAGATTCCTTCCTTGGTGACAGGGTAGTGTCTATGACAGGTGTTGTAGCCTTGCCCTGGAGCACTGCGTGTCCAGACTGTAGGCTTCTCTGACTGCTTTGCCCCCTGTACTTGGATGGCAGGAGCTGAGCAGCAAGGAACAGGAGAAAGTGGCTGAGGTCAACAAGGTGCGAGTGGAGCTGCAGGAGCAGATTGGACACCTGGAAGCTGAGAGGACAGCGCAGGAAGGCCTGCGAGAGAAAATTTCAGCCCTGGAGCGGCAACTGAAAGGTACTTGGTTAGGAAGGGGATACTTCTGCTTCTCAGAGAGGATAGGAAATAGAATGTCATCATCTAACAGGACCTTGGAGCCCATAATGATCTGCTGCTCACTTTTCCAAGTGTAGTTATTTGTTTACTTTAGAGCCTGCCTTTCTCACTGAGACTCACGGTGTGCATGCACACGAAAGCTTATACCGAGAATTAAACTTTGTTGGTTGTAAAGGTGCCACTGGACTCAAACTTGGTGGAGTACACAGTCTAAGGCAACGCAGTCACTTGGCATAAGACATCCAACAAACAATGCAATAGGACTAGGATTTCAAAAATTAGAAACAGTGCAATGTGTCATAATGCAAAAACTGGAATAAACAAAAGTAGATAAAATGCATTAAGAGTAAGGTAATACGTACAGTGAACAGAGGAATATATTAAAATCCTTTCCTTTATAAAAGCACCGTCCATACCACAGCATTATTCCTTTTATAGAAATACCCTCCTGAACAATTCTGTTATAGAGTTTGTGGAATTACAGGAGTGGGGGGGGGGGGCTTCCTGAGCAATTTGGCCAGGCCATTCCACAATGTGGGGAAAGCATGTGTATGGGCAGCTGTCAGAATGGCACCTTCAGAAGGCTTTGCTCAGATGAGTGAAGCTGGCATTGCATGTCAGGAGAGGCGGTCCAGTTTCTGTCTCCCAACCAGGCTCAGACCAAAGGAGGCAGGGATGGCTGGATACTGGTCTCAACTTAGGAAGAAATGAGAGGGCTGCTTGGAGGACCCCATGTGGCTGTGTGTGCCCTAGACCAAGATGAGCACTTAGAGAAAAGAAGAACAGAAGTATTGGTGCATGGGGGGGGGGAAGGATATTGTTTTATTCTAGATATGGGAAAGTGTATTGCTGGAATGGGAATGGTGGTACTGGTAAGAACCTCTGCAGTTCACCATATGTGGACAAATGTTGCATCCAGCCTACAGTGCTGGGAAGAGGCCTTGACTTCTGTCTGCCCATTACCCAATGTAGGAATCCCACAAGCAGCAGCATGAATCCTGACTTTTCCACTACACCATTCTAGCTTTAGGCTGTGGTATCATCTCTGCAAATCAACCCTGTTTTCTGCACAAAGTAAAGCCATATGAATGAGTGGTGGTCTGTTACTGCTCCGTAGAACTTATTTTGTTTCAAGAGCATTTTTCCTGTCTGAACCAGAAAGCTTGAGTCTGCTGTTTTATTTCTCCTCATATAGTGCTGTCCAGTAATCACCGGGAGGCGCTGTTGGACAAAGACAGTGAAATATCAAGCCTGCTGGAGAAGCTGCGAGTTCGAGAGGCAGAGATCTCCAGGATGAGGGAAGAGGAAGCTCAGAGAGCCAGTTTTCTTCAGAATGCCATTATGACCTATGTTCAGGGCTCCCCCCTGAGTTCTTTTATCCCTAAGAAGTGAGCAATAAGTCTTGAAGGCTCTTGCCCCAACTTCCATAAACAGGAGTCCAAGAACGAGGATTGTGGGATATCCTGGATTGTGGCTTGTATCATTGAGAGCTCACAACATTGCATTGGATCTTACCTGAGCTTAGGCTGTCATTCCAGGACTTGAAGTTGTTATAGAAACCATTTTCATGGCCTGTGGCCAAGCCTAGCCTTGTTGAAACCTACAATCCATGGTTTAAGGCCCTAAAACACAGCTGTTCATTCAAGGTTCTAATCTGTAGCCCATTAGGGAAGGCCTGTTTTAATGAGGTAGGGACAATAATGTCTCTCTCAGCATATTGGGTAGAACTTACACATTATCCCCGTGCGATGATTATGCTGTGATTGTTTCTAGAAAAGCTACATCGGAGTAGCAAGTGAAATCTCCACTGTCACAAATCACTGTTACCATGCGGTACTTCCTGTGCCACTGGTTCACTTCCATGGCAGTCGTAGATGTCAACCCTGATACATACAACCTGCATGATCACAAGGTGGGGAATGGTTAAGGCGGGAGCTGCTTGATATAAATCATTATCCTGATTCATAGCCTTTTTAAAGTGCATATATCATTTATGCTCTGTGCCTGGTCATAGCTCTATTGCTGAAGCTTTCTGAAGTGCAAGTACAGAGAGCAAGCTACTGGCACCAGCATGTGATTTCTTTAGCCTTCGTACTACAGACTGAGTATCCCAAAAGGCACAAAAGGCTTCCTGGCTTATTGTTATTGAGAACAGTCACCCCTCCCCTCTTTACATGTGACAGAATTTTAATAGGTGGAATGGGAGTTGAGGGACTGGGTTGACTCCTAGGGTTTGCTGTGCTTCTTCCTTCCTGCAGGAGATGAACTCAGGGATGGGCAAACTTTCTGTTAAATTCTAACTCCAACTTTTAAATCAGGAGGAAAATTAAATGCTTATTTCTGCCTAACGTCAAGGGCCAGTTTACATTTAGTCCCTCTGTCTCTCTGTCTCTCTCTCTCTCTCTCTAGTGCTCTTTATACGTTTTGTCATATATAAAGGTAAAGGTTCTCTTGCTCGAAAGCCAGTCAAATCCGACTCTAGGGTTGCGGTGCTCATCTCCGTTTCAAAGCCGAAGAGCCAGCGCTGTCCGAAGATGTTTCCGTGGTCATGTGGCTGGCATGACTAAACACCAAGGTGCACGGAACGCTGTTACCTTCCCACTGAAGTGGTACCTATTGATCTACTTGCAATTTCTTGCTTTCGAACTGCTAGGTTGGCAGGAGCTGGAACTAGAGACGGGAGCTCACTCCGTCATGCGGCAACTCGGGTCTTGAACTGCTAAACTACTGACCTTCCACAGCCTGCAGTTCAGTGTCTTAACCACTTGAGCTGCTTTATATTTCCATGTGACAACGATATATTTTTAGTCATCTTCTATATGAATTAGGAACATAAATCGGCAAATGCATATTTTTTTTTGCAGATTTTAATGGGAAACATCTAAAACCCTTCAGCTTTTTTCTCCTGAGTACATTTCAGTTTCATGGAATATGAATCTACAATACAGTGGAATTAAAAAAATTTGCCTATGCTGCTCGTATTTGGGGAAATGATTTCTGAGCAATTTTTTTCATGGGGGAGAAATACTTCCTCAGTTTTTCAGAAATGTGGACTGTTTTGCCCAAAGCAATTCTAACTTGCTTTCCAAAGGAAAACAATTAAAAAAAAATCATTGTCTCAGGCAAGTAAGGATGATACCAGAGGCCTGTGACTGGAACTAGCCATAAAAAGGAGCCACGAGAAGGGGCTGGTTGGGGTCATGGTGCTGGAGAAGGGGCAGGGGCTTTAATTTTTCCCCAATTGGGAAATCTCTGCCACTGCTCCAGCATGCTTATTCTCAATCAGAGAAATGGCGCGACTGCAAGAATAACCAACCCCCCACCTCACCCATGCTACAACACCCTTCCACAAGAGTTGATTCTTATCACCAAATTCATCTGGGGTATGTCAGTCTCTCATGTAGTTTGGCCCTCAGCTTAATTGTTTGTAATTAGCTAACTGGATAAACAAATTTCTGAAACATACTACACAATCCTAAACAAGAGATATACCCTGCTAAACCCATTGGTCTTAGAAGGGTATAGCGCTTCTTAAAGTAACATCACTAGTAGCCTCCCTAACCCAAGACAGGTTTGCTCTGTGTGCTTTTCTTCCATAGTCTGATTAATGTTTCCCTTACTGTGCCCCTTGCCAAAGAAATCACCTTCTCTCCAAAGCCTCAAAGTGTCAACAACCTTCTTATGTCAAGCCACCTCATCTTAAAAGTCTAAGAGGATAGGATTCCTACCTTGGTAATGATTGACCCAGGTGGTTTCAGGTGGCCCATGCATTCTATGACATTTCATTGTTTGGGGTTTTTTTAATTGGCTTGTAATCCTTTTGATATTTTTAGATACATTACTGGTGCCTGATCAAGACTGCATGGATACTTTGTAGTGTATATAGTGTACAGAGAGCTGGTAGGGTGTAGCAGTAAGATTAGAATCTGAGCGGGCTAGCTTCAGATCTCCATTTTGGTGGCTTTGGACCAGTCCCACTCATTCTCTTTCAGTCTCTCCTATATTAATGCCTTGTTATGATGGGAAGAACCCTGAGCTTCTTGGAGGAAAGATGAGATAAAATCCATACTTGAGGTGGAATTCCAAATCTTTGCTCCTTTTACATCTTCAGTAATGTGGGGTCCTGCCCACAAGAACAGCAGCAAAGTCTGTGGTAGAAACAAGACAGCATTGCTGAGGGCCTAGCAGGATTGTTTGCAAAGACAGTGTGGTGAGGAAAAGGGCAACACTCGGCCACAATTCCCTTTGCTCTTTTCAGAGCTTGCTTTAAGTGGTTCTGGAGGGAATTGGAGTGTAGTTCACTCACGCCTGTCTGGAATAATCAGCACCTGGCAGCCCACTGGCCAGTAGCAAAGACACTTCCTCTTGCGTGCACATACAGGCAGTGCCCCAGGGCCCTCATTTTATCAGAGTATAAAAGATATCCAATCTGGTTGTTAATGAGATGTGACTGCTTCTATAGGAAGGCAGAAATTTGTTCCCTCTTGGGCTTGTCCTGCATTTTAGGGAGCTAATACTAAAGGGCAGCAAATCAGCAGATTTGAGGCTTCTGTGATGTGTGTTAGGGAAGCAGGGAATTTTCACACATGACACTTTGAGCCTCTCTTGCACTTTGCACTTGTGTGTGGTTGTACTGTATGATGAAGGGCAAAAGCTGTTTTTAATCTAAGATACCTTCTACCCAATATGTGCCTTTTGAGTTACTGATGTGGGAAATGTGAAAACTGGATCTATGAATCACATGGAAATTCCCTCAGTATTGGTATGCTGGAAACAGAATGGTTTTGAAGTGGATCTGCCTCAAGTGGCTAGGCAAACTTGTCCCTTAAAGCAAGTGATTAGATCAATAATTCCCTGGAGAAAGGAGTAATATTTCAGACTTCAGCAGAGAAAGATTCTCTGCCAGTGTTAAAGGCTCCATCTTTCGATATATTCAAGGTTAAGTTGCAAACAGCAATATATTAAATTGTATGCTGTTATTTTGAAGAAAATATTTTATAACTGTACTAATGGTATCAACACAGGTCAGAGTCACTTCTTTTTCTAAACCAAAGGGATTGTAAAGCTCATTTAATCGTTCAGAATAGATAGTTGGTATATGGAACCAGTGAATTGATAAGAAATACACTTACAGGAATGCAAAGGGTTGAAGTATATGTGGGTTCTGACACACATGTACTTTCAGCCCTTTGCATTCCTGTAAGTGTATTTCTTATCAATTCACTGGTTCCGTATACCAACTATCTATTCTGAACCATGGCCACAGCCAACAACGTAGTACACGCTTTCAGGAAAAGGTAATACTTTATTGAAGACCTATAGATGCATTAACATAGGCACTGTTAAGAATGACGGCTGCCCATGGGGCATAATAGGATATAGGGTATTTGTATGCACACACCCCTTGCCCCGGCCAATGAGTCGCCCTCCCGTGCGCGGGAGAAAGAGCTTCGGCCATTTAGCACTGAAGTTGGGAATGGAACACTCTCCCACGGTTCCCAAGAAAACCAGACGTCAACAAATCCACCTGCCATACTTAGAGATAAGCGTTGTAGCAGCAAAGAAGTACAGAAGGAATGCAAAGGCAATTAGAAGACCACCAACCTCCCCACCCCCATGTCAGCATAGCTGACAATGTGAAACTTGAGTTCAGTGACTGTAATTCTGGACATATTATCTGGACATACTTCTGGAAGTTCTCTGGTCAGATTAGTAAGGCTGATAAATTCATCCTAGAGAGTCCACAGTTCTGTGGCTCCTGTGTCCCTTCTTACCAAGATGGGGAGATGGAAATGTGTTTTCAGTTTGGTGCCTGCTTGAGAAGATGAATTGGCCTCCTAGGTCAGGCCAGGATGGTCCTCTCTGAATGACAGCATGACATCTGCCTCAGCCACAGAATTGTTTACCATTTAGATTTCTGTACTGGCTTGTAATCAGCATCCTGTTTATCTGTGCACAGAGTGGAAATTGTAACCTCATAGGTTAATGAGCAACCAGTGGAGGCTTCAGATTCAAATCTGGCCTCTCTAGCTACTAGCCAAGGCAACAAGGGATGTGTGGACATACTGGTGGTGGTCATAGCAATTGAGTTTGCTGGCAGTCTGCTCTGGAGGACAGAGATGGGGGCTGACCTATCACTTTCCAGTCCTTTTCAGAGAAGATTGCTCCCCCCCCCCCCACCTACTGTAAAACTAATTGTCATGCAGAGGGTTACTTGAACAGTGAGTAGTGTTGCCACTTTCTCCCCATCGGCGTGGGGGGGGTGGGTACCGAGCTGTTAAGGACTCCCCTCCTGCTAAGAAAAGCTTCCCCCTGTAGCCATTCCAGGCAGAAGAGTGGTCATTGGGGATATATATTACAGGCCGAGTGGTCGTGCCAGAAAAACATGGTGTCAATCCTCCCGGGAAAGAGAAGCTCCACATGCCCGGATCCCTCAAAGAAGCTGAGGCCTTGTGCCGTTACCCTGCCCAGCTTAAAGATGCCTCTCGTCCGTCCCCACGCGTCCCTTTCTACTGCTGGCGGCCGCCCTGGAAGGCGCCCGAGCGCTAATGCGTTGCTAAGATACTGGTGGTTGCTCCCAAATTCAGAGGCATCCTGTTGGGTCCTAAAATGCTGGAGTTGGCGACGCTGGAGACCCCTGGAGGCGGGAGCCGCTCCCTTTGCGCCGCTCCCTTTCACACGACTCCTCTCCCGAGAGTGGCGGGCTTGTTGTGGGGAGGGGCTGCCCGACTCCAGTCCCTCTCTCTCTCTCTCTCTCCCTCCGTCCCTCCTCCCCCTCCTCCTCTCCCCCCCCCGGCCCCGCCCGGCTCCGGCTCTGTGTATCTATCTCTTGCTCGCGCGCTCGCTCACTGCGGCTGCGGGCTGCATCCATCGCGAAGGAAGCCGACGAAGGGAGCCGGGCGCCGCCATCCCAGCCCAGCCCACCTCGCTCCCGAGGCAGATGCAGGCCATCAAGTGTGTGGTCGTGGGAGACGGGTGAGCGCCGGCAGTGGCCGCGATCCAGGGTGGGGACGGGGCTGGCGCTCGGCCAGGCGGACCATGTGCCATCGGGGCAAGACCAGGGTGGGGTCGGCAAGAGGGGACGGGAAAGGATATGGCGCCCCCCACCCCCCATTTCACACCCTGGGAACGGGGGCCTTTCTGCAATCTGCACGGATGATCTAGTGCGGGACCCACGCCCATTCGGCTCGTGGCAGGCGTTTGGTTGCCTTTGCGTCCTCCCGCGCACACACACCTTTTGTTGCCCCAGCAGATCTGTGCCGCTCCGCCCCGCCCCAGTCGTTCCTATTTCAATCCTTGCCCCTAGCAGTACCTGCCTGTCTCTCCCCCCCCCCCCCCCCTTTTTCGGCCCCCCAGCTCTGCCCCCTCCCATCTGCTGCAGTCTCCAGGGAGGGCTTTCATCACCCTAGCGTTGGATCTGCCCCTCTGAAGTATTGTAGCTCCGCCATGTGTTTGGGTGAAGCCAAGAAAGAAACCGAGCCTTTATGCACAGGGATAGCGTTTCAAACAGGGCGGGACTTTTTTTGTATCCGATTCGCTAACAACTGGACCGAGAGCCGGCGGGCTTGTATTGTGTGATAGGCTTTGGAAAACCTGTTCAGCTAAGATCACGGCCATTGTACTCGGAAGTGGGACGTGCGCCGTTTTCTCGTTTGAGCGTGAGGATTAAGCATCCTGCTTTCTTCCAGAGTAGTAAAAAAGAAAGCCAAGTTCTGACCAGTTCTAGATGGGTATCACTACCCATGTTAGTCTGTAGCAGTGGAATGAAACAGGAGTCCAGTGGCACCTTAAAGACTAACAAAATTAATTCCTTGAATCAGAGCACATTTAAACTCACTGATGAAGTCCTCCCAAAAACTTATTCCTGAATACATGTTGTTAGCCTTTAAGGTTGCACTGGACTTCTGTTTTAAGTCCTAAACAAGTGTCCTACTGACTCGCTCACTCAACAGTCTGGGTCCCTAGATTACCCTGAGGTGATTAAAGATGCAGTTCTGCCAAGAAGACAAATGTTGTAAGAAAGTGTTGAAGAACTGACAGCAATAGACACTCAGGAACAGAGGATACAAGATTAAACCAGGGACCACTTTCCCATCACACATTGTAGGACCAGAAAATGAATAAAGTTGGTGGATTAACTTAACAAAGGGACCTGATGGAGTGTCTGCAGAGTGAGATGAAGCAGAAGAGCCCGTGACCATGTAGTGGACACAGTGTCATTCTGGGACCAGGGCTCAGATTCCCTCCTGGTGAAACTCTCTGGGTAACACTGTCTTTAGGCCTAACCTACCTCACAGAGCTGCTGCTGTAAGAATAAACATGAACAAGCCCCTGTATACTTCTTGGAAGGGAAGAGCGCCATAAAGGTGTGAATCCCTGGTTCAAATATCATAATAGCTATGGATTCCATAGGCTAAAGAAGACTTTCCGTATTTGATCTCTCCCATGGCACTTCAGCCTAAGCAGTCAAAATGTTTGAGGGACCTGTGGCTGATAGTAGGGCTTAGGTTCCTGGCACTGGCTGACTCTGCCAGCTTGGATTCCTTTTCCTTCTACCATTAAAAACTGTCCTTCAAGTGAAGTGGCTTTTCTGTTGGAGAAAAAACCACTGAAGCTGGAGGAAGGTTCCTAAGGCTGTTGGAAGCCTTCAGACTCGGCTGAGTGGAGTTGTAGGATACAGGCCACTGTTTTCACACCTTCCCCAATAACACTGACCTGCCTTACAGCAGTTGTCTTAAGAATTATTTAATTGGTTTCAATACTCAAAACCAGTACTGAAATACACAGGTAAAGGTTTCCCTTGCTCGAAAGCCAGTCAAATCTGACTCTAGGGGGCAGTGCTCATCTCCGTTTCCAAGCCAAAGAGCCAGCACTGTCGTAAGACTTCTCCGTGGTCATGTGGCCGGCGTGACTAAATACCAAGGCACACAGAATGCTGTTACCTTCCCACCGAAGTGGTACCTATTTATCTACTTGCAATTTCTTGCTTTCAAACTGCTAGACTGGCAGGAGCTGTGGCCAGAGAAGCCCTAATTTGGTAGCCTGATCTTGTCACATCTCAATAGGTAGGGTTGGCGCTGATTAGTACTTGGGATAGGAGACCACCAAGGAAGTCCAGGGTAGCTACGCAGACTCAGGCAATGCAAGCTGTCTCTGTCTCTTGCCTTGAAAACTCTATTGGGTCACCCATAGGTCAGCTGTGACTTGACGCCACGTTCCACCCGCACGATATGTTAAAATACATACAAAGGACAGCTGGCCATTTGGGTCTCTCCTGGTTCTCCACTGTTTTGGATATTTATTTTCAGGTTTCTGGAAACCATTTGCTCCATTGCCTGTTATGAAAGAACCCCCTTCCTATGCACTTACAAAGAAAACTTGAGGCATTCTATTACAGTATACAGAATTCCAAAAAGAGTAGAGTCGACCTTTTGTCCAGGCATTTAATCACAGAAGGTAAAAGAAGCATTGGCTGCGGTCACACGCTACAGAGACGGAAGATAGGCGGATTTTCCAGGTGCGATCACAGCGCCACATCTGGGAAGCGTAGAGCTCTCATGGCGAACCCGAGGCTTCCTGCCGAAGATGCGGGGTAAAAAACTAGTACCTCTGAGGTACTAGTTTCTGGAAACCGCGGGGCAAGGGTGGGCGCCTGATCACGTTTCCGGTGGTAGTTCGTGGCATCCGGCACCCGCCCATGTCCCGTTGCTAAAAGTTGTTTTTTTAAAGTCTCCACGGGATGTGCACAAGCATGTGCACTAATTGGCCAAATATATCTAATTCAAAAGAGTAGTAGCCAAATCTATGCATTCAGGCCAACCACTGAGAGTTCTGCAAACCCAGGGGAAATCTAAAACTGTAAAAAAGGGGGGGGGCTTCAAACCTTGTGATACCTGTGCACATGCAGACACCACGATGCAATGTCTCAGTGCAAAAGGTGGGCTATGAATAAATAAATAAGAAGCAAAATGCCAGAATTCAAGTGGCATCTGGGGCTAAATCCAAAACAGTGTGTGAAAACTACTAGTGGCCAGGCAGTGATATCTAACTTCCTTTTGATGGGGAAATTCTCAAGGGTCCAAACGAGGGGTTCAATGGAGACAGTGGACTTCAGCAGAAAATAATTTAAGTGGTTCAAACTACAAAGAGTGAGTCTGCCCAGACACTGAAAAGAGGTTCTCCAAACGTACAAGCAAGTGGCCACATCTTGTGGCAGCAGATTCTACACAATAATTATACGTTGGGTAGAAGTGGTACTTTCTTTTGTGTGGATATACTGCCTATCAATTTTACTGAGTGATCTCAAGTTCTTGTATTATGAAAGGGAGAAAAAAATCTTATCTACTTACTCAATACCATACACAGTCTTCATCCATACACAGTTTTGTAAATCTCTGCCATATCCCCCCTTAGTCTTTTCCCCCCTAAACTTCAATGCTCCAATCTCTTTGTGTGTGTAAAGTGCCAACAAGTCGCAGCTGACTTATAGCGACCCCAGCAGGGGGCTTTCAAGGCAAATGGGAAGCAGAGGTGGTTTTTGCCTTCCTTTGCAGAGTCTTCCTTGATGGTCTCCCTTCTGAGTACTGACCCTGCTTAACTTCCAAGATCTGACAAGATCAGGCTAGACTATGCCACCTTCCCTGCTTCCAGCCTCTGTAGCCTTTCCTCAAAATGAAGAAACTCATACCCTTTGATGACTTCACTTGCCCCTTTTTACACCTTTTCCAGTTTTGTGATATCCTTTTGGAGATGGGAAACGAGAAATATACACCAATGTATCTGATTCTGAACATGGCTCCAGAGTACAGATCAATCTGCAGGATGGGGCCACATACGGATAGGGTTCCCCTCTCCTCAACAATCCCAGCAGAACAGCTAGGTTTGCAGAAAATCCCCAAAATTAAAAAGAGGTTTTTTGATAATTCCAAATTCACAATGTAAAGGGGGGAAATATCTGAGATCTTGGAATGCAATATCACTACTTCAGTTGGTATTTTGTGGGTCTTTTAGCAATCCCAGAAACTATGTTGAAGGGAGACATAGCTGCCCTGCTGGGAGAAGGGTAATTAAGGCAGTGGTGGCTGAGGGAGGGCAAGGGGGAGAAATACAGTGGAAGAAACATTGAAGGAAAGGAGGAGGTGATGGAGAGTGAGGTGGAAAAAGGCAGTGGTGGGGAGGCAGAAAAAAAGAGGAGAAGGATGTGGGCCATCCAGGGTGAGGAGAATTTTCCCTCCTTGACAGTTCTCACAGGTCCTTGCCTGCAGAATACTAAAAGTGACTACACTGTAGATTTATATAAAGTCTCTTAATGGGGAATTTAATTTGGTGTTATCTGCAAACTTGGCCATTTCACTGCTCATCCCTGATTCCAGGTCATTTATGATCATGTAGGAAGCATGACACTCACTTTTCCAGTCTGATAATGCCAAAACAAAATAACACCTTCCATATGGATGGAATGGCCACAGTACTTCCTAACATGGTCACTGGGAGTGGGACATATTGGGCATACAGAAAGTACACCAGCATACAACAGAAAGGTGCAAAGCAGTCTATTGAATGCAAAGATGTTTGCCTGATGACAAGTAATTCAGACACTGAATTGATACCACTTGATTATTCCTCAATTCACACTTTTAAAATCTGGATTAACCTAGATCTGTTTTGGTAGCCTCACTAGTAAGTTTTTACTTGTTTTCTTCTTGTTATGAGGCTGAATTAAGATTTGTAGAAACTACACATTTGTAAGGTGCATGTTCCCCTTGCGACAGAACACTAGAACAATTTATGAAGAACTGGGTTTATGCACAAACTAAGCAAATTATAATTTAGGGCTTCGGATTATGAGGGACCTCTAATACAACTCCCCCCAAATCAGTAATTCACTTTTTTTGGGGGGGTAATGCTATGGGGCCTCTTAAAGTTGATATTGAGCAAGGCCCCAGCATGTCTTAATCCAGCCCTAAATTTATGATATTTGGCTAGACTAGGCACCTGGCATGTACACAGAAATTTTGGCTTGAATCAGTGACTTGAAACTTGGAGAAACATCGCCTCTCCAAGCCCCTCACCCTAGTCTTGCAATATCTGTGCTTTCATGGCTCTGCTTTCCTTTTCCTAGGGCTGTGGGGAAGACCTGTCTGCTAATCAGCTATACGACCAATGCCTTCCCTGGAGAGTATATCCCCACTGTGTGAGTATTTGGAAACTAAGCCATAGGTTCCAGTACATACTTGTGAGACAAGATGCATTCTAAGCTGTGGTTTGTAAAACACACATTTGATATTCTGGATGTTGGAAAGATTGGACTCCCAAGGACCACTTCAAGCATGACAGAGATAGCACATGAAAGAAACTGTGTGTCTGCCCATGTGAAAATCATCACAAATTATGACACATGCAGGTACATGCATGGTTGTACATGCAGCAAAAATAAGCACTTATATGACCATCACTCAAAATTATCTACATGGGAACTGCTGTCATATGAAATAGTCCTAACTATGTTAGAAATATAGAACCTTCGTAGATTGTATTCTAGGCCAACCACAATTTTGCTGTTAATACAAGATCAGTTAACTCACTCCAGTTACCTCTTAAAATGTGCTTTAACTGTCGTTTATGCTCACACAATTAGAATGGCCAATGCGTAGGGAAACAGTGAGTTTTAAATTTCATGTGTTTGTGTCTACCCTTGTGTATGCTGTTGCATAATTTTATGGAATGGAATACACAAATCAACAAAATATGGTATGCAAGTTTTGAATACATTATGAAGGAGGAGACCCATTTTATTATACTTCAGCCTCTGTCCACACAACGGAAGTGGCTTGTGTTTGGGGTTAAATAAGAAAAGTGACAGAACTTCAAGGTAGTATGTACTTGCCATTTAAGAAAACAGAACTGGAGGGTGGAAATTATTCAGGAATTGTTAAATCTAGAATGAAATGACCTTGAGAATACAGCATGGAGGTGGGACGGAATGTTTGAGTTTCTGAAAGGAGCAATTTCCCACCAGGTTTGATAATTATTCTGCCAATGTCATGGTGGATGGAAAGCCAGTAAATCTGGGGCTGTGGGACACGGCAGGACAAGAGGACTATGACAGACTGCGACCTCTTTCCTACCCACAGACAGTAAGTGTCGATATTGTTCCCTGCTTTTTGAGCAGAGCTTGATTGTATTCCCTTTGAAAGAAGGTCCCCCAAGTCTACTGGAATAGGCAGCAGCTCTGTATATTCTACAGTGTATTTCTCGTTTCTACAAAAATAATGCCTGAATTAAGAATGGAAGAGAGCTTTGTTAGATCTATCTAGTCTAGCATCCTGTTTCCAACAGTGGCTATCAGATGGCCCTGGGAAGCCCATAATCAAGGCATGAAAGTATTATTTCCTTCCCCTCCACTGCTACAAGTAGCTGATAGTCATGGCCTTTAAATGTGGAAGATCCATTTACTCATTTCCATTGTGTAGAAATACATTCCATGAATGTGTTTAATTACCCTTTAAAAGCTATCCATCTAAAGGCCATCACCACATTTTATGAGAAAATTATGAGATGCATGAAATTCATTCATTCATTCAATTTATAGCCCTCCCTCCCCTGTATAACGGGGCTCAGGTCGGCTAACAACAATCATAAAAGACATTGCATACAGTTCAGATTTTAACAATCCTGTACTAGGGTTGCCATGTCTTACCTGGCTGCCGGTGGGGGGAGGGTCCCGCCCTTGCTCCTGGAGTTCTTTGGCACACACGCAAAGCGCACATGCTGCTATGTCACCTGGAAATGACATCATTGCGCAGGGCATGTTGTGGGGGGCATTCTATCGTTCAAGGAAAAACCACAGAATTTTTCCTTGAACGATAGGAGCATTCCCCTGCAACATGCCCTGCACAATGTCACTTGGAGCAATGTCATCACTGCGCTGGGCACGTGGGCGCGAATGCAGCACGTTGAGGGTGGGGTTCCCCCCACCAGCCGGATCCAGGCTGGCAGATTGGGAGCCCTGAAAGCTGGCAAACCCCCGCCCCCAGCGGGGGAATGGCAACCCTATATAATACACTAAAATAACAGCAACCAATCACAGCGAGTAGATGGCATATAAATATCCTGGGAGGGAGATAAATACCTTATGATCTGTCTGATCTGAAGGGGAGGGGAAAGAGGAAGGGAGGCCAATCTAAGATGGAAGAATTGTCGCTGCCCTCAACCATAGGCCTGGCAGAACAATTCCGTCTTGCAGGCCCTGCGGAATTGCATTAGGTCCTGCAGGACCCGAATCTTGGCCGGCAGAGAGTTCCACCAGGTCGGAGCCAGAGCCAAAAAAGCCCCAGCTCTGGTTGAGGACAGCCAGACACTCTTTGGGCCAGGGATCACCAGTAGGTTGTTATCACTAGCGTGTAATGCTCTTTGGCGGATGTACCAGGAGAGGCGGTCCTGGAGGTATGCTGGTCCCAGACCGTTTTGGGTTCTAAAGGTTAACACCAAAACTTTGAACCTGATCCAGTATTCAACCTGGAGCCAGTGCAGCTGGCAGAGTACTGGTTGAATACGGGCTCTAAAGGAAGTTCCCATAAGAACTTGCACAGCTGCATTCTTCTCTGTTCTGAATCTACTGCCAGTCAATTTCACTGACCCTGAGTTCTAGTATTATGGAACAGAGATGTGGCCATGTTGCAACCTAAGCCTGTATCATACATTCTTTTTGTGGACTCTGGTATTTATGGTAGGAGTAAATGTTGGGATATAAAGGGCGGAGACTGGTGGATGGGATGATTCTAACGTGGAAACCAATGGTCTGCAACATCGTGAGGTCGTTCCAAATACTATCACATATACCCCTGCTTTACCCTTCCCATATAATGAATATTCTTATCCCCACAGGATGTTTTCCTGATCTGCTTCTCATTAGTGAGCCCAGCCTCTTTTGAAAATGTCCGAGCCAAGGTAACACATTTTCTCATCAGCATTAGAAAACTGTCCTGGCTACACATTGCCAGAGGGTGGCGATTCTGGTAGCCAGCATTATACCTCCTGAGCCCACTAAAGCATACGTGTAACGCTTCTAGTATAGGATGGAAGTCGGCGGGGAGGACACAATATAGTACAATCAGTCCCTCCCTGTGAGGTCGTCTCCTAACTCAGGTTAGGCAAAGGGCCGGAAGTGGCCACTGTCCCAGAGACCACTTTCCCCCCTACTGTGCTCAGTGTCACCAGGCAAGAAAGTTTACTTTTGTCTCCCATTTTTAGTGGTACCCAGAGGTTCGGCACCACTGCCCCAACACCCCAATCATCTTGGTGGGCACCAAGCTGGACCTGAGGGATGACAAGGACACCATTGAGAGACTACGTGACAAGAAACTGGCCCCCATCACCTACCCTCAAGGCCTAGCTATGGCCCGGGAGATTGGTGAGTTTTGGAAATAGGGCTACAGGGACAGGCAAATGTGAAGCAGAAAGCACTGCGTCCTGTTATGAGGCTTTGGGGGGAAAAAATCAGTGGTCCTGGTTCTGATGGCACCTGAGATGAGGGGGAGAAACCACGTCTCCACACTAAGCTGTGCTGTCCCCCTCCCTTTCTGTAGGTTCGGTGAAATATCTAGAATGCTCTGCCCTTACACAGCGAGGCCTCAAGACTGTCTTTGATGAAGCCATCCGTGCTGTGCTCTGTCCCCCACCTGTGAAGAAGCCTGGCAAGAAATGTACTGTGTTCTAAGGGCATCTGAGTTCAGCATGTTAATGAGTGTCTTCTCCTTGTCTGTTCGAGGAGGGAGCGTTCTCTGGGTGTTCCCGCAGTGGGAGAGGCGGGGGCCCTTCATCATGTACGAAGTCAGTGTTTTTTAAATGTCTCTTTGATTTAACGTCTGTGTCAATGTAAAAAGGGCCGCATGGGAGAAAGAAGAGATCGATGCTGTCCCACCCCAGGGCGGAGCGGTGGGAGGGGCATGCTTTCCATGACTCCATGCCAGGGGGTAGTGCGCGAATAGAAAGAGCAGCCCTTTATACTACTTCAAGTTGGTGCTAGAGCACGGTGGTGGGAGCAGGTAACTTTACCCCACTGGGGGGTGGGAAGACAAATGAGACACAGGTTGAAGGAACAGCCATCAGTGCTTTATTGTGTGAGACACTAGCGAAGCAGCTCTGTGGCATCCAAAGCTGTCTTTGCCTTCCAGGGCATCAGCCTGTGTGCTGCTCCAGAGCTGGTTTACTGACCATCAGCCCTCCCAGAGATGGGGAGGAGGAAGGTGGTTGCTTTACCTTGCCCAGTCTGGGCAGGACCGGGCTGTGTGGCAGGAGCCTAAGATGAAAAAGAAAGCAGGTGGGAGGGTGATGGCCAATCCCTTCCTTTGGTCAGTTGCGATGGATTGGGGGATGGAGCAGGGAGAGCTTTGGAGGGGTTGGGATGGAGACAGGTCCAGTTTTTAATCATCGTGTAGCGTGATGAGCCGAACACTTCTTATTTTATACAATAAACATTTCTCCATAAGTAAGAAGTTGTGATTTGTTTAGGTCCAGCAGGGGAAGGGAGGGGGATCTGTATTCTTTCCTCATTCCACAGGTCCTGGTAGTGGATCATTCTCTTTAGCTCCTTTAGGATGGCTAGATAACCAGCTGAGATACATTTCCATAGGGAATGGAGCACGTGCTGTGCTTTAACTGACAAGGAATCCCCCATCAACTGGCAGCACAACGCCTGTTGTCATGTTGCTTTGATCACTCAGAAGGAAGAGAATGCTGTTCACCACATCAGCCACCTCTGTAAAGACAGATGCACCAAGGTCAGCTGAAAGGGATTCTACAGATGATCACAGCAGCCTAATCCTCTTGACCTTGGACAGACAGAAACTCCCCAATCTTCAAACAAGACCGCACTTCCCATGCTCGCTCACCCTGACCCAGCACTTCTTCCACATCAGTTTCCCCCTGTTTGGTAGCTGGAATCTCCAGGCCAATTCAGACATGTGACTGGAAAGTATGCAACCATAACAGATCATCTCTATATGACATTTTTTTCCATCGTAAAGATTTTTTTAATACAAGATAGAATTTTCATGTGAGAGAGCTTTCACAAAAACTACTCCCTATGCAGAGATGGAACTGCCCTCCCGAGTGACAAGTGCACATCTTGATTAATGCATATGTTAATATGCCCATACAAAGGAAGAAGAAAAGGGGTCCCTCTCCATTTCAGAGATGTATCTTAGAGCCTCCATCATCCCAGACAAAAAATAAGTCTGGGAAAGCATAGCCTCGGTGTGAGAGTCCCATACATTGCTGGTGCTGCAGACACCAAGCACAGCAACAATCTTGCACTTCCCCCCCAGCTCTGCAACTTATTAGTTATAGAGGACTGCTATGCAGGAGTTGAGTCCTTTCTTTTTACCGGGCATCTACAATTACACAGTCCCATCTCACTCATTCACAAACAGAAGCAAGCTTGTGCTCCAGCTAACCTGCAAACCTCCCCAGTGGGATACGGCTTGTCATAGCTGCAGCCTTCTGGGGATCACTCCAATTGCGGCGTCCCATCTCAGTCAGGACAACAGTGGGGTTCACACTGTTTACCCGGATCTTGAAGAACAGACAAGACGGGGGGGGGGAGTGAATGCAGGTTTAGACCATGCATGCAATTTGATCATATGTTTTGGAGATTTCACTCTGTTCCTCCTATGCTTGATCATAAGCAGGATCTCAGTCCGACAATAATCTCTCCAGTGTTGGGGTTTTACCCTCCAGTTGGCCCATGAAGATGTATGTGGCTCTGAATTCCATTATGCTGTCTCCAGACACTCAGTTTGCACACTCAGTTTACACCTTCAGCCTTGACACACATATGTACCTTGTTTCAAAATTACCCTGTTCTGACTGCCCTCATTACTGACCAGGCATTGCTGGTTCCATGTATCTACCTTGTTCTTTTCATTACAATTAAGTTCATACCTTGTGAGGCCCCAGCTCCTGAGCCATTGTTTTGGTCAGCATGTCCAAGGCACTCTTGGTGGAACCTGAACAGGAGATTTTACTGCATTAGGCCTCTGCCTGCTCCTTCTTTCCCCCTCCCACACACTTCATTGCAAATCTGAGATTGCCTTGAATAATCATCGCTTGAGTCCAGGTTCTCACTGCAATTGATCTGAAAACCACTGGCAGTTTCCACCTATGTTTTGGTGGGAAGGAAAACACAGGAATCTTGAGTTATACTCACAGTATACTGTGTGATCTAGCACAGCCCTCTGCGAGGCCTGGCTTGAGACATTCACTATTGCACCTGGAGCTCCTCGAGCAATCAGCTTCCGGGCAACAATCTGAAATGCGTGACATTGGAGAAAGGGATGAAGCATAGTAGCTTGGGCTAGGATGGTAGCACTATGTCAGAACATATTCTAACCCGTAGAAGAAGAGTGAAATGGAAGAGTGCCAATGAGCCCCAGCCCTGAGTAAGCAAGGAACAGCCTGGTCTAAATTATACACACACACACACACCAGCGTGGTGTAGTGCTCAAGAGTGGCGGACTAATCTGGAGAACTAGTTTCGTTCCCCACTCCACATGCAAGCAGCAAAAGCAAGACAAACAATTTAAGAAAGCATAGATTTAAAAAGAAAAAATACAAAACAGGTTGCACACTATTTCATTATATACATTACTTTCAAGCTGGCGCCATTGGGTCTCTAAGATCTTATTGGTCCAGGCCGCCTTGAGGTGGTAGGCTTCAATTTAAGCAGGGGAGGCCAAGTTTGCTTTTTTAATTGGATGCCCACCGTCTCAGCCAAAGGCCTGGCGGTGAAGATGTTCTTGGGCCAAAAATCTGTATACTCAACGTCAGAGAGTAACTCGTGACTTTATGGTGTGTATGTCCACAGGTATGCAGCAATTTAAAAATGGCTTTTTTAAAAAACATTTTTTTTACTATTTATTTAAAGTTTTGCTAAGATATGTAAACCAATTATTTATTTGATTGCCCCCTCCTCCACATGAAGCCTGCTGGGTGAACTTGGGCCAGTCACAGTTCTCTCCAAACTCTTTCAGCCCCACCTACCTCACAAGGTGCCTGTTGCAGGGGGAGGAAGGGGATTGTAAACTGCTTTCAGACTCCTTAAAGTAAAGCATGGGGCAAAAAACCCAACTCTTCTTCTTCACAACCGCAAATCTTCATACAGGCCAGAATACCAGCCCAGCCACTTAACAAAATCACCCTTTCTCAGTTGCCTACATGCTGCTTAGGTATTAGCATTGCCCTCCTGATACCACCAACCTCTTCTCACCTGGGAGATCTGCAGGGCAGCCCGAAGGTTAACGCTGAAAGACCTGCATAAAATTCAAGTCAGATTAAACAGGCAAAGTAAAGAATGGCCAGACAGCAACAGTTTAGCAGTGGCTTCTAGAGCCCAAAGACATGGCAGCGGTAATCTACAAACTCAGCCCCCCCCCCCCATTTTTTAAGCATATCTGATGTGGTAATAATAAAGCAGATATAACAAAATGAGTTTCCCTCTTCGGTTTTCGTGAGGGGATGGTTTATGCCTCTGAGAGCCAGCTCTTTCCTTTGGCAGACTGAGAGAGATTAAAATTTAATCTCTAGGACAAAGGTTTTATTACACTTCTCTTTCCAGACAAGCTGCAAAAGGTCTCAGAGGCTGACAGTTAAAATCAACAAGCTGTATCAGAGTCTGTCTGCCTACAATGGAGAATTGGTCACATGCTGCCCCCCCCCCCCCACCCCCGGACAACTGGAAAGAGTCCACACTTCAGTCCATGACTGCTTCCACAGAGATGATTTTCAGTCTACCAGCTGCTGCTGCTGTGAATGCAGACATTTGCAATGGCAGCCAAGCATCATACAAAAGTATTCCCTGCACCTTCCTTGTCTCAGCCCCCAACAATCACCATTTCTCCTCCTCTACCACAGGGCTTTTTAAAAAGCTGGATATGCCTAATCATTAAAGGGTTATAATGATCTATTACCACAGTCTACTGTGTGTGTTAAGTAAGGTTAAGTCGCTTCTGACTTATGGCGACCTATGAATTAATATCCTCCAAAACGTCCTGTCATTAACAGCCATTCTCAGGTCTTGTAAACTGAGGGCCGTGGCTTCCTTGATTGAGTCAATCCACCTCATGTTTGGTCTTCCTCTTTTCCTGCTTCACACTCTACTAGTACCCAGCCAGTAATCTTATTCCTTTTTATTGCAGAGCTGTAAAGTAAAACGCGTAGCCTGTGCTTTTAAAAAATGAAAACTAGAAACTAGCAGATCATGGCAATAGATTGTTCTAACACTGAGATGATGTAGCAATTCCCAAATTTTGTTTAAAAATTGCCCCTCCCAGGCCCACTGGTGTGTGTGTAGGAGAAATGGCAGTCATGAGGGGTTAAGGCAAAAAAAAGAAAGGCTCTAATATATTTGGAACAAAAAGAAAAAAACACCTGCATATCATCCTGTCCATATAGCATCCAAAGGGCTGCAGTCTTTCCAAAAAGATTGTACAAAACCAGGTTTGAGAAACGTAACAGCAAAAGGAGGAAAAACACTGAAGCAGGATAAGTAGAAGACTCTGCCATGTACGTGCTCCTGAAGCCAATGCTGCTTCAAGAAGGCCAAGGAGCATCGAAATATTGGTGTGGAAACAGCCCATGTCAGGGATTACCTGTCAAAGGCGTCCTTGGTCACCTCTAGGAACGGCTGCAGCAGTGCTATCCCAGCATTATTCACCAGTAGATCGATATCGTCCACTTTGTTCAATGCTGCCTCTGTGGCCTCCCAGTCTCCCACATCAACACACAGTGTCTGAATTCCAGGGCACTGGGGGCAGAACAGAGAAATCCTAAGAAGATGGGAGATTGACAGAAAAATTGGGTTGGCTGGTGCCAAGGTGGCCTTCCAAACCACACAGGAGGAGGCTGGAGACACGTAGTTCCTACTGACTGGTGATTGATAAGAGTAGAGGCTAGAGTTATGAGAGAGAGCACTTTCAAATGCTTTGCAACTGTAATAAAAATGTCTCCACACTACCTAGAAGGTACATTAAATTTCATAATGATTCTCTACCATTTTGTGCCCTGCAGTAAATACTCTTTAAATATTATATATATTATATATAATATTATATATATACACACACACTTTAAATAAAATACTCTTTAAGAATTAGAAGAAACAACTGCTCAACGTTCAGCTTCTCTAGTTACAGCAATTTTGTGATACAATAAAAGCCACATTAATGGTTACCAGCTTTTTTGCCTAGCACCGTGAGTCTTTTACTTGCATAACAGCTAGTGCAACTCATCACTATATCATTCTGTCGGAAGAATATTCTAGCACTGGATTTCTGCTGGTTGTGTATTTTAGGCACAAGAACTTTTGTCATTTTAAAAATGTCGGTAATCCTAACCCACCTCTGGCAAAATCCTCTCTCGTAGAAGTTCAGCCTGGTGGCAACCCTTTTCAGCGGGATGACTAAGCACTTGCTGAACTCTGTGGCTGGGGGAAACGGGGGCAAACAGGGAGCCTTGCAGGTGAGGGGAGGCCTGGAGGTGGGGGTGTCTTGGAGGTACCAAGAAAGGGGAGGGGCTGCCTGTAGGCAGGAGACCAGGCCGGGGTCCTAAAGCAGTCTTAAGGAGGGACAATCGGATCATGGGAAGAGGCACTGGCTCCGGCTATACCTCTTTCTGCAGGCCGTCGAGGTCCGCCTGTGTCCGGCTCAGCGCCACCACATGGGCCCCGGCCCGACTCAAGGCTACCGCCACAGCTCGCCCGATCCCTGCAAAGGCGAGAGAAAGGAAGCGTCTAGGCGCGACATCCACGGCGGCCTTGATCCCACCGCCCTGGGCCCCATCCGGTACCTTTGCCCGCCCCCGTGACCAGAGCCCGGCGCCCCACAAAACGCTCCATCCCGGCGGGCGGACAGCCTCGTTCAAGACAAGACAAGACTTCGCCTTCGGGGGCAGAAATAACACCGCGGTGGTAAAGGAGGCCAGCCGCCACCGCTCCTCCGGAAGAAACGCCCCATCTGGCCCCTCTCCAAATGGCCGCTTAGCGTATCTCGCAGACCAAGGAACCGCCCTGTGTTGAGGGACTTCCCTTCTGTCTTAACGCCACCGTCCCCCGAAATGCATTTGGGTCCTGCTATCGATCTCGTACCCAAACAGCCTTTCTCATTTCCCCACCTCCTCTGAATCCTGTGGCCATTGGACACCCCCCCCCCCCCCCATATGGGGACTAATCTCCGAATAAAGCCCTTATATCGCGGCAAGAGTAAATCGCGTCAATTATTTTTGCAGCCTAGGTTTGTCAGCTCCAGCTCGTTAAATTCCTGGAGATTTTTGGGATGACGCCTGTGGAGGGTAGAGTTTGGTGAGAGGAGAGAGCTGAGCGAGGACGTGATATACCTCACAGAGCCCATCCTCCGAAGCTGCTTTGCCGGGAAGGGCGGGGTATAAATCAAATAAATACTTTCCTTTGGGGAAACTCAGCTGGTAGCCTGGACAGATCCGTTGTAATTCCTGGAGAACTAAAGGCCCAACCTCGAAGCTGGTAATTCTATGCAGCTTGGATATCTCTATAGTCGAGTGCAATGCTCTGGGTGTCAGAATATTGTTTCCAGACACTCCCTCTACCCCACAGAATTAGCATGTTTAATCAAAATCAGATCACATCACAGAGCCAGCATGGTGTAGTAATTCGAGTGTTGGACTAGAATCTGGGACACTCCGGTTCAAATTCCTGCTCTGCCGTGGAAGCCTGCTGGGTGACTTTGGACCAGACACACAAACTCAGCCTAACCTACCTTACAGGGATGTTGTGAGTATAAAATGGCAGTGAATAATGTAAACCATTTTGGGTCCCTATTGGGGAGAAAGGTGGAGTATAAATTAATCACAAGCGATGTCCAGTGCCAGGGATTAAACTAATCTACATTTCTGACCTGTACTGCTTGTCTGCCCCCCCCCATCTCCCTCTCCCCCCCTTTCACTCCTCAAAGCAGAAGATGGAAGGTACCACTTGGTCTACTTTCTTACAAGTATGCTGTACCAGCTTGTACAGCTTACTTATTTGGTGGTCCCATATACATAGTTCTCTTAAGAATTCAGGTGAGTAGCCATGTTGGTCTGAAGCAGCAGAACAAAGTTTGCGTCCAGTGGCACCTTTAAGACCAACAAAGTTTTATTCAAATTGGAAGCTTTTGTGGCCAAAGCACACTTCTTCAGACAAATGATTGTATTCCATAATTCTCTTAACCTACTGTGGCTGGGATGCCCCAGTGTAATAGGGTTTCTTATCTGATTTTGTATTTTTTACTGGCATGCATGATGTTTTGCATGGCTAGAATAGAATAGGTTGCCTCTTCTACAATGTTCCAGAACTTCCCTGCCCCTATGGCAACACTTGTTACCTACAACAGTTAGTACAAACCTTCCCCTGGTCCATACAGGCCAGTCTGCAATCCTCAGTCTCTCCCTGTCAATGTTGAGTCGCAAGCAGCTGATGCAGGCAGCAGCACAGCTAGCAGAACAATGTGGCAGATATACAGATGGCTGCTGCCATGAAGCCTCTTGTGGTGGAAGGCAAGGATCCATTAACCCACGAGGAAAGGTCTCTGAGGCCTATAAATTCCTTCTATAAAAGCGCTGCTGCTCTTGGTGTCTGCTAAGGCACTCTGTGGAGCAGGGTGTTGGGAAACAGAAACAGCAAGCCCAAGCCTATCTTGAGACCATTAAGAAGGATCTGGAAGCTCAGTGCTGGGAGAGTCTTAGCCTGTTAGTATACAATGTCCTATTGAAACACTGCAGTGAGACAGATTATGAAAGCAAAGCCTTTTACCTGAAAATGAAAGGCGACAACTGTTGCTACTTAGCTGAGAGCCTTGCCTTGATGCTAAAGAGACTTTAGTGAAGTCTGCAGAGACAGTCCATGAGGCAGCTCAGGAAATCAGTGATTATTGCATGAAACCTACTCATCCCTTGGCTCTACCCTTTACTATGAAGTTGTCAACAACCCTCAACAGGCAACTAGACTAGCAAGGACTGCCTTTGCTAAAGCCATTGGTGGCCTGGAGAAACTCCGCCTAGAATACTACAAGGAATTCACCGTTATCATGCAGCACCTAAGGGACGACATTATGCAGTTGACCCAACAACCACAGCAGGAGGAGTAGCAAGGAAGAGTTTGAAGGCCAACATTGTCCTGAGCCAGCAATTAACCACAGTGAACAGAACCATGGGAGCCAATGATAGGTAGTTGTGTGACAGATTCCTCGTACTTGCATTCATCCAGGTACCCGATCCATCCTCTAAGCGATTAAGATAGGTGCAGATATCTTCAGTTTCTTAATGCCCTACTAGAAACAAATGTCTATTCTTCAAGCCCTTTGGCTCCAGCCCGTCAAGGTTCAGATAGGGGTGTCAAACATAAGGCCTGGGGAGCAACCAGTGCAAGGGAGGGATCAAGAGACTGCTTGGGGGGGGGAGTGGGCAGACCCACTATGATTGTGGCTTCAGCATGGCAGAACAACCTCATCTGCAGCAGTCAAGCAGCATAAGAGCATCTGTCCAGTGCTGCACCACTGGCTCCCCAATCCGCCCATATGGGTTTTCCTCGGCACCCCCCTCCCAGACCATGGGGCCTTGCAGTGAGGATACAACTCAGTGCTAACCAGCTGCTGTCCTTTATACAGCTTATATGTCCAGTACCAGGCATTATGTTTTATGGCACACATAGCCCGGCAAAGTGACATTTATGTCAGATCCGGCCCTCATAACCAATGAGTTCGACCTCTCTTCCCGATCATCACCTGATGCTGGGGAGGACTAACACTGCCATCACACTCTACCTCTTAACTGTCATGTGCCATCCTTCTGGACTGGTCACAGCCAAAACACAGAATGCAGTGAAGCAATGAGAACTGCCATGTTGGATGGTCAGAGTCAGCATGACAATTCTTATGATTTAAATAGAGATTTAGCAGTTTTTTGATTGGAAGAATTTGGGAATTTGATTGGAAGATGTTATTGGGGGCAAGGTAGGAAGTTATATCCTACAGCCCAAACCTATGGGAATGCTGTAAGGATCCATGGTAAAATTAATGCAAGATGCTTGAGTAGATCCTAAGAGTTTAATGATCTTTCTCAGAAAGTTTGGAAATAAATTTTCTCTGTGGCATTACATTCATGCTATTAACATGTTGTCAGGATGGATGTCACTGCTAAAAGCTGCTGTTTGTTTCTAAAGAACCCATTAAAGATTAAACACCAGAAATTGAATTATCAGATATATATTAAAACTTTCGAAATACAATATATTTGGTGATCAACATTTAGGGTGTATTCTAGTGAATAATTTTTAATAAGGAATTTGGGAAGGTTATTAGCAAGGCCCAACATACATTGGGACTCACGTTTCATAGCAGTCTAAACAGGGCACTGAGTCCATTCAGCGCAAACAGTAGATGCAGGTGAGTAGGCAGTAAGTATAAACAGATAAGTGGCAATTTAGTTAACATAAAAACAGACAATGCAGGAACAGACTGAAGGTGGCTGTGTTGACAAATTGGGGCATATGAACAACATAATAGTCTCAGTGCCCTTATCACATAGCAAAAACTGGCAATCACCCATTACTGACTGTAGTACTTATCAGTTTATTTTTCCTGTGCCTTAAAATCATTCTCTGTCTTGTACTGATACCAAACATCAAAATCTGCAACGGGCTTCGTTCTTTGTTGTATTCTGCTAGGCCTTCAAAGGCCATTATGTTCAGAAAAAGCTTATATTTAAGAAATTATACCCTGAAATTGCTAGGCTCATAAAATGCTACCGCAATGCTGGGTATATACAGCTGGCTTTCTCAAAGATGATAATAAGAAAATTATGTACTTCTAAAAATATTTATTTGCTGAAAGGAGGATGGGTAATTGTTAGGGTGCTGAGGCTGCAACAATCTCATCATATACAAACGCAACTCAACAGTCCAAATCACTTGCTTTAGGTCAGTGCTCTGCACTAACAAAAAGCAGCTACACGCTACAGCTTAGAATGCAAAATTATGTGCCAAAGAAACCAGATTCTGCATTCAGAATTAGTCATAAAAATATGCCAAATTTGAGAATTTACTAAACCTCAATTTTTGGCGCTTCAAATGGAGCAGTGGTGGCGAAAAAGAAAGACATATACAATAGAATAATGGAAAGGGCAGAAAACACAGGACAAGGCAGAGAACACCGCACAGCAGAAGTCCTCCCACACCCCCAAGATGCATCCTGCCACCCTTAAATGTTTTGAACAGAGGCACACTAACGTACATTTTTCTGCAGTTGTGGGGGTTTAAATTTGATATCAACATCCACATTCCACTGTCACAGCCACATGTATTATAAAAGGCCCAAAGCAAATATTCTGTTCCAAGTTTTGCCTCTAAGTGCCAGTTGTGGCAACATAAGAGATGCGTCAGCTCTGGCAGGAGCATCTGACATGCAGATTGTACTACATGCTGATGCCACCACAGGGACCAAAAGGAGCTGTACTGTCAAACATCAGCAGGCTAGCAAGCATAATCACAACTGTTCCCTTGGGGCCTGCAACATGTGGGCACATCTGGCAGTCATGCTCCTCAGAGATTATGTACATAAGGCACAAAAATGGCAAACACTCCCCCGACAAACATTTAAAGCAATTATTCTAAGAACAGTTTCATTCCTTCTCCTTTGTCCAGAAGTGTGTGCGTGCTGCTTTTTCAGAAAGGAGAATGGTCAAAGAAAATACTCTTCCAGAAGTTTACACGGCCTCCACCTCTACCAGCTTTTCAATACTGAGTACTTTCTGAAAACAGATTTCCAGCACATTTACCTTAAGACAGCTGGCACATCTCATACAAACACATCATATATATACATATGTGTATGATTACCTGCAGAGAACCATTTTAAAGGCTTGGAATATGTTAGGAGACTGATGCACTCACTTCTGCATAAGCATCCCAATTTTGGTGGATTAGATTTTATGGTGTCTTAAGACATTATTTATAGATTCAGACTATGCTCCTCTTGACTTCAGTGTTTATGCTTAGAAAGCCAGGGAAGGTTCTATGAAAGGCCTGTTAAGTGACTATTTCATCGCAGGACTATGTACTGTGTTCCCTCCCCTTGTTCCAGAGTACATCCCCTTTTGGTTGAGTGCTGCCACAGTACTGGCAAGTAGTAGTAACACTCCTTCTATATGATCACTCTTAGGTCAGGAGCTCAGAAATGTCTTTTATGGTGAGACATGCATCAAACTATGGAGTCCAGCTGCAATAAAAAAGCAAAGATTGTATGGTGGTCCAGCCAACATAATATGGATTTTGACTGTCTTGAAATAGTGGTTAGAATGTTCAAGGCAAAAATGCTTTGAGTGAAGGTCACAGCAGAAGACTTGTATACGGCATAGCCTGTGAAACATACAATAAGCCAAGAGTGACATTTACAGTGGCATCCTTAAGCAGGTCTCCTCAGAGTCAATGAAACTTACTTCTTGGAAAGCAGAACTGCATTATTAATTTGAACATAAGCCAGCAACAAGAGCAAGATGTTTCTGGGAGAATGACTTCTGCATTTGCTAATCTGTTTTATTTGCTTAGTGGGAAGCCATATCTACTACTTCCAGTGTGATTTTACTGTGATTTAGATGTGGATAAAATAGAAAAAAACACAGGTGAAACTTTCATGATTATGCTGTTGCCCCAGACAGGAACTCTGTTTTCATACCTGTAGTCTCAAAATGAAGTTTTATACTTTGCACACCAAGCATATCTATGACTATCAGCCCTCAACCATATTGCTACGGTACCAGACTGTTGCATTCCTGAGGTTGTACAAATGCAGCAAAGTAGGGATTCAGCTTTAGATAACTGGACATCCATGAAATTGGGGGGAAAGCCTGTCAAGTTTGGGTTATTACACCCTGCATAACCAGAGCACTTCCAACAACCCGGGAATTTGCTTGGACCTTATGTTTTGTTCTTCTCCTACAAAGCCAGCCGTAGTTGCTCATTCAAAGAAAGAGCCAACAGGAGACAAATGTGACGGTTAGGTCAGATGTCACTTCACTGTTACAGTGGGGCACCATGCAGTGTCGGGATAGAGTAGACAGTGGACAGATCTGAATCTGAAAAGAGAAAGGTAAGAAGTCACAGTCACAGGAGTCAAAGCAACTTGGTCTGGAAGAATTACAAATCTGCCACTGCAGGAACACTGGTTATAATCTGCTAATATATCTAGCAGAAAAATGCCATTTCCTACCCATTGCTTGGAGTTATCATCAGTGGTCAAGCAAGCAGGGCAAGAGATTTCATTTGGAAAGTAATAATGCACTCACCGAGTTGGGTCTTGCTGTACATTGAACATTTCCTCCACACTCACAACATTATGTTTGTTCTCAGGACCCCCATAGCTTAAGGTAACCTGGGGAAAACACACACACAAACATGCTCAGAAACTACACTTGCTGGAGCATAGCAACCAATACAGGAAATCAGTCTTGTGGGGCAGATGATAGATGCTTTGTAGTCCTTCCAAGATGAGTAGCAGCAGTCATGGGAAAAGAAAGTAACATAATGCTGCAGTTGAGGCGTTCTGCTGACCCAGGAATGGACTGGGACAGCAGAACAGCCCTGGAACAAGCTCAACCAAGGAAATCCTGTAGCACTAGCAGCACTGGAGGGATCACATGGCTCAGACCTCCGCAAGCCTCCACCCACTGGCATTGTTGCCATGGCCTGGGTTACAGCACTACAAGCACCACAGGGACCACTTGGCTCAGCTTGCTCCTGACCACCAGAAGCCCTCAGGATACTGGCCCATTGGGAACTTTCTTTGTAAATTATATGGCCAACATACCCCCAACCACTCAGGCCCAAATCAGAGATTCTCAAGGAAACAAGTGCCACCCGTATGGATAACAGAATGAAGAACACCAGAACAAAACAGGTCAATAAAATTCCAGCCCCTCACTTTCAAGAGGCTGGTCTTACCACAAACTGTACAGATCACATCGTCACAGATTAGTTAGTGCAAACAGATTAACTTACCCAAATTTCTGATGCAGTGAATTTCTTCATAATTTCTCCATATTTTCTTATCTCCACTAAAGAACTGCATTTAGGGCTTTGTAGCCATATAAGAAGTCCAGCTTTTAAGAGGCCCCAATGTAATTTTTAGTTCATCACAACAGTTGAAATTGACCTTGTAATTTAAATCCATCAGGCTGCCCACATCCATGTCTAATTTAATTTAACCATAAACTCTTTTTAATGGAAATCTATGGAGTAGAAACCTTTGGCTGTCCCATTTAGAGTAGCCAAAGTTTGCTCATACCTGTTTGAACACCGCTTCACCACGTAGCCGCTGCAGGTTTTCCAGGTGTGAGTGGAACAAGGGGCTGTGGTGCAACTTCACTTCCAACAACCCTTCAATGATGTAGCCAATTGTGCAGTCATCAGGGAGGCGAATCCTCTCAGCAGTGCTGATGAAGCTCCCCAAGCTGCCACAAGACAGGAATTGGAGAATAACATCTCCCTAGGTTCTTAGAACAAAGGAACATTCTCTAAGCTGTACATACCTAGCCCAGGGACTCATTTTGAGGGCAAGACCTCTGCTGATACAGAACCCTGCTCCGCCTGTGGCAAACCAGAACTTCACAGTGGTCTAACAAGATAAATAAAGAGCTGTTAGAAAAACTAGGGACAGTTTTAGCTCAGAAGGACATGTCAGAGCCTACCCCAGTAATGTAAGTCTTTGAATGTTTAGCCTTTGTAACCCAACAGTCCTATCAGATTTGCCCACATGGTCCAGATTTCTGTTGAAATCCAACAAGAGGACCAATTGAACCATTCATGGTCAACTTTTAAGTGTCCTTAGTAGATGATCTGATCTTTAAGATACACAAGGTCATTATAAAGAGACTCTCATTCAAAACCAATTATATCCTTGTTGCTGGTCTCTACTCCTGACTCTTAATGCAACTTGCAGCTATGCATATTTGCTTAGAAATAATGCCCACCAAGAGGACTTCCTCTCATGTAAATGGGCATGGGACTGCAGCCATACAAATACACATTATTGCAGGACAGAATAGTCACTGAAGTCACTTTTGCTTGCAAATTTGCAGAACACCAGAGGATTGGTTTCATGAAATGATCTGTCCCACAAACTTGTTTCCTGTCCCATATTCCATAACTTAATTCGTTTCCCCTTTTGTCAACTTATTAAAATAATATTCTAAGATTGTTGCTGTGCTATGTATCTTCAAACTGTGCATAAGCCTCGATGTATGTACTTTCTAAGCAAGACAGACATCTATAACCCCCCCACACACACACCTAAGTAGTTTGTGAAAGCACATGGTGCCACATGAATCAGAAGAACCTTGGTCCATGATCCTGGCAACAGTTTGCCTGAAGGTTTGCATCAGATAAATTCTCTGCTTATTCCCATATCCTATAGCAGAAGTACAATGCAGTGCAGCACCTACGCAGATCTGAAGGACAGAATCTGCACGCTGAGAAAGGGAATTACTTTCTAAAGGCACCTTTATTATGTGCTTTCCTAGCCCAGAATTGCAATGGGACCTCTCAGGGATTTCTTTGGGCAGCTGTGCCACTAGCTTGACTATGAGACACATATGGGGAGGGTAGTAATTCTGTACTTTCCTCCTGAAGGGAGCAATACTATTGCATCATTTATGAATGTCATATTTACACTACAGAGATGTGTCAGTGATGACTTAAAATCAGGTAGCGTCTATTTCCAGCTGAGTCATAGTTAACACAGCACTCCTGTCAATTGCCATCTGTGTATAGTGGTGGATGAAATGATGATGTCTGGAAAAGGATGTAACAAGTACTGAGTAGAAGCACTTGCAGAAATCCATTTTGCACCTGATGTTTCAGTGAAGTATTTCCTAGTTCTGTGCTGTTGTGAGGCAGGGAAACCTGGCTTCAAATTCCAAAGAAGAGGAAGGAACATACAGTAGGAATAGCATGGGAACAATCCAAGAACAATGCATGGGAACAATGTAAGAATCTGATCGGTTTGAATTTTGAGAAAGCAACGACCCAAGCAAAGAATATGCTCACTGATCCATCATTCCTGACATGATCTGCTGCTTCAATGGGATGATCTAGACTTGGTCTCCCAACATAGACATCTTGGCTGTGTGAAAAGGCAGACAGGAGATGCAGGAGATTTCGCAGATTCACATAGTTGTCATCATCCATGTGACAAAACCACCTGCAAGAAAAGTAAAAATAAAGCACCAAAAAAAGTCACAAGCTCTCTCTGTTAAGCTATCTTGGAAAAGGATCTTTACCTCTCAGAATCAATGCAAAGGGCATATGTGGTTATTAGACTGAGAAGAGACAATGGGAGAATCTCTTCTCAACTCAAGAAAATTAAAACACAAGTCAATATCCCTTTGTGGCTCAGCCTTTCAGCCAAATTTGGTCTTCTTTTCCTTTATGCTCACCATCAGTGATTAAAGGAGTTCCTGCTTGGTGTAGTGGTTAAGTGTGCGGACTCTAAACTGGGAGAACTGGGGTTGATTCCCTACTCCTCCACTTGCGGCTGCTGGATGACCCTGAGCAAACCATAGTTCTGACAAGAGGTGTCCTTGAAAGAGCAGTTCTCTTAGAGCTCTCTCAGCCCCACCTACCTCACAGGGTGTCTGTTGTGGGGAGGGGAAGGGAAAGGAGTTTGTAAGCTGCTCTGAGACTCCAAGTGAAGGGCAGGGTATAAATCCAATCTCTTCTTCTTCTACTGGCTCATACTGGAGTCAGAGAAGGTAATATTAAGACAAGCACCAACTGGAACAGAACAATGTTCAAATCCAGTGTCACCCTTAAGACCAACCAAATTTTATTCTGGGTATAAGTTTCGTGTGCATGCAGAATAAAACTTCCTTGGTCTTAAAGGTGCCACTGAACTCAAACTTTGTTCTGCTGCCTCAAAGTCAGACCAACACGGCTACTCACCTGAATCTACCAACTGGAGTAGTGACTCTCACTTACTTTTGCCCAGATTCAAGAAATTTATCATATTCCACAGACATCTTGCAGCAGAGTGCTTGGCGGGTATGAACAGCTGAGCAGTTGGTGTTGATCATGTGATCCCCTATAATAGAAAGATAGTTTCATTGGGGAGCCTGCATTATTTGCAAGATAATTCAATCATGAACACTTACTAATAATTAAATTATTACATGCAGGTTATGTGTCTTTTAATTGTTGCACTCTTTGTGAACATTTATACACAATATTTATATAAAGAAGCAATTTGATTATTACTTAGTAAGTCTTCACGGTTGTATATTTTTGTATTTTTGTGACCTCTTGTTCCATGATTCTCTCGTCGCATTCTTCTGATTTGCAAGAAAAACAGCAAATATAGTGGGAAACTCATGTGAAGAAAATAAATCGGATATATTCATGCCACCATGCCACCATCTAGCAACTATAAGACCAGGCCATAAGAACTGCAACCTGAAAATAGGGAATATAATTCCATTGCACCCAGTACCAAAAGAGAACAGAACTTTATTTGAACATCAGCAAGGTCTTGTCTGAGCCCTGCTAGACTATAACCAGCCACCACCAGCAACCAACAATACAAGAGAAAAATGAAACTAAAACAATGGCTTTTACCTTAAGGCATCATGTTAAAATAACTATACCATAGAATAAGGTAATCTTAACAAAGTAATAAGTCTGTTAAAGTTTATGATGCCACAAAACTCCTTTTTGGCCCCATTGGTGGACCTCCTGATGACACCTGGGATTTGGCCACCATGTGACACAGAGTGTTGGACTGGATGGGCCATTGGCCTAATCCAGCACAGCTTCTTTTATGCTGTTATGTTCTTTTTGGCTACAACAGACTAACAAAACTACTCCACTGGATTCTGCAACCAAGTTTAACTCCGCCTCTTATAGTGAATAACAGATTTTTAATATCAGCTTTCCACAAACTGAAAAAAGAAATTCAGGTATTAGCATCAAGGCTTAATGAAGGAATGTGGCATAATCTTCCAAAATGAAGAGAAAACATAATTTTATTTACAATGGGGGTGTGTGTGTAAGGATCTGAAGCAGAGATATCTGGAATGGCTGGATTGCCCCTCACAGAAAATAAATGCAAAACCATTTATCATGGAAAGGTAGACACGGCATATTTTAATCCAGGCTCCCCCTTGAAAAAAAACAACCTGCTCAATACAAAACAAATGGTGTTCAAGCAGATAAAACCTGTTGAAAGATTCACAACTAAGAATATTAAGAACAGCACTGCTAGTTAAAACCAAAGGTTATTCTGGCAGGCTTCACCTAGACCAGCAGGTGACTGTAGATTTGGAAGTTACCACAGGAATAATTCATTTCAACTAAAGCAATAATACAGGATTTGTACAGCACATGCATATTAAAGCATTTCATAAAAGAAATCAGGGGTCTTTTGGTGCCGGAGCGCACTGGAGCACTGCTCCGGCAGCCTGCATGGCGGCAAGCCCTGCCCCCAGGTTCCCCAAGCCCGCACAGAAGCGCTGCGGCTTGGGGGAGGCCCGGAGAGCCCCGCCCCCGGGTCCCCCGAGCCCGCACGGGAGCGCTGCGGCTGGGGGAGGCCCAGAGAGCCCCGCCCCCGGGTCTCTCGAGCCCGCGCGTGAGCGCTGCAGCTGGAGGAGGCCCGGAGAGCCCTGCCTCCGGATCTCTCGAGCCAGCGTGGGAGCGCTGCGGCTGGGGGGGATGCCCAGAGAGCCCCGTTGCCGCACCCCGTCACCGCTTTGGGGACCCTATTTGGGAAGAAAGGCAGCATAGAAATGTTTAAAATAAAATACAATGTTTAAAAAGTAAGGTAAAGGTTTCCCTTCCTCAAAAGCCAGTTGAATCTGACTCTAGGGGGCAGTGCTCATCTCCATTTCCAAGCCAGAGAGCCAGTGCTGTCCTAAGACATTTCCGTGGTCATGTGGCCAGCATGACTAAACGCTGAGGCACATGGAATGCTGTTATCTTCCCACCTAATTGGTACCTATTTATCTACCCTCCTTCTTTCCTGCCTTCTTCTCTTCTTCCCTTCTCTCTTTCTTTACCTCCTACTTTCCTTCTCTTTTTCCCTCTTTCCTTCTCTCTTTGTATCCCCTCTTTCTTTCCTTCTCTTTCTTGCCCTCTTTCCTTCCTTTCCTTCTCTCTACTCTCTCTCTTTCCTTCCCTCTTTCCTCCTTCTGTGGCCCAACTCTAGTGAGAAGGGGTTTAAAGTTTAAACCCCCTTCTCTCTTTGCTCCCCCCCAAGGCCAGCTGGGGAAAGGAAGGGGAGGCTTTTGAAGATGCCTCCCCCCCTTTTGCTTCCCCTTCTCACTTCCGGTGATGTCAGGGAGCGTGGCATATGCTAATAGCCTAGTAGCTCATTAGCATACCATATGCTAATGAACTCCTGCAGCTCTTTTTCTACGAAAAGACCCCTGAAAAAAAGAAATGCCAAGTGACAGAACAAATAGTTAAAACCTCTGGCACCCCATTTAAAGGCTGCCATGTAGTAGGGCTCGGGAAAGCCCCTGTCTAACACTTTGACTTACTAGTCAGGGCAGATAATAGAAGGGAGAGTAGATAGTTGGTCTGAATCAGCCTAAGACAGAGCCTTGTGTTTTGAACCCATCTACCTATAAATACCTGCTATACCTGTCAGAAATGTGGGAACACGCTCACCTGCTCTGTGACGCAGTTCTGGATCCTCCCAGTCTGTAAATATAAAGGTCTGAGGGAGACAAGAAAAATAAACACTTAATTTTCTGGACAATTTCTGAGTAACACTAGTGGATTGGCTCCTACCCCTTTTTCACTGGCACTAGAGAGAGGAGCAATCTTGCTTGATTTTCCTCCTTGCTACAGCCCCATCCTATGTAGTATCTTGTCCCACACATGCCCCACAAGACTTGTGGGAAGTCAGCAGGACCCCTCTTTCTTCTTGCACCTTTGAAAAAACACATGGGACCTAACTCAGTATTGCATTCAATCAGAATACCACGGAAGAGGATATCCTTGGTTTCCCGCAGTATTTTTTTAAAAAATTGTATGTGTGTATACGTGCTTGTGAGTCAGGAAGTCATGGAGACTTCTGGTGACCCCTAGTGGGGCTAGGACATTTCAGAGAGGAAGCTTTGATATTACCTGCCTGTGCTTCCTGGCCCTGGTATTCCTTGGAGGTCACCCTTCCAAGTACTTCCCAGGGTCAGCCCTGCTTAGCTTCCGAGATCTGACAAGATTGGGCTTGCCTGAGCTATCCAGGTCAGGGCAGTTTCCTGTAGTATTAAGAAAAAAGAGTTAGAAAGAGAGAGGAAGATGGGTTTCTCTCCTATAGTCAGATCTTTTTACTCGGCACTGAGGCCCAGCACACATTATAGAGGCCTTGTGTCCCCCATGGGTTTTGTTGATCAGATGTGTGCCTGTAGGTCAGTGCCTGGAACTAATTCCCAGGCACTTGGGGACATCAATCAGATTGGGACTGCATGCCTGGGGACAGGGGGTATAAGCCTTCCCCCATGTGATATTTTCATAACCTGAAATAGCTCTGGGAAACTGCTGTTTGCCCCATTGGGGAAGCTTGTCTGTAGCCATCAAGGTAAGTAAGTTTCCCCAGCAGGACAAATAATAGTTTGCCAGGGCCTTTTCAGGTTAAGAAAATGATGAGTGGGCCTGTGTATCCCTAGGAACTAAGCTCTGAAAATGGAACTATAGGCACATGTCTGATCAACAGGAGTCACATGGGGGATACAAGGACTTTATAATGCGTAAATTGGCCAAACAGGTCGAGAGTTAAATGTGGTATAATACTGTAAAAAATAACAGAAGCTCAACTCATCTCAACCACTGCTCCCTCTAAGCTGTGGAGTCTTGTGAGCAAAAATTCTACTTTGTGAGCTACTGGCATTAAAGGTGTGAGCAAGCTACTTGGCTACTGCATAAATTAGTTTGCTCTGGAGCCATCCTTCCTGAGCTAGGACAAAAAATATGTGAGCTGGGGGCTAAAAAGCTGTGAGCTAGCTCACACTAACTCAGCTTAGAGGGAACACTGATCTCAACGCAGAAAATCACCCACCAAGACAAAGGTCAGGGATTTATTTTCTCAGAACTCTCTTTTTGTTTAACTTCTGTCTTATGTCCCCAGAATCTGCTTTGTATCAGAGAAAACAGTCAAGCTGATGAGCAGTAGGAAACCCTACCAGCAGCTGGTACCAGTATCTGGTTTGAGAACTAGACAGCCACCAAAGCTCCTGGGTCGACCTTTAAAAGTCTGTCTGAATTCATAAAGTGATGGAAATGGCTGCCATTTTCCCCATGCCAGCAGGGGGAAGCTTTCTGGCATTGAGGTAAGCCTTCTGGGGTATCTGATCTGGCACTGTGGGAAGCATAATGATCTGTTGGTATGATACAGCAAGGCTCATCTTCTGTTCATTTTGGAGAGACTGCAATCCTGTGCATGCTTATCTGGGCAGAAGTCCCATTGAACTCAATGGAACTAACTATACATAGGGCTGGATAGTAAGAGCCTTAAAAGGATATTGTAGCTGATAGAAAAATGTAACTGTTGAATAAATTAATATTTTAACTCTCCAGGAAAAGCACTCTTACCTGCCCCTGAGCCTGGGAAATCCATGTTTGGAAGAGCAAGTTCAACCTTGTTTTATGGTATTTCCGTGTTGTTTTCACAGCAATAAAGATATCCTTCAATTCCAACTTTTCCTTAGCAGAGATGTTGTCAGGTCCCACATGATTCACCCTATTGTACCATGGATTACTTGGGCTCTCATTCATCTTGCTGTTAGCTTTCAGGCTGGATCGCCCAGTGTCTATGACATGAGGGGTCCATTCTTGTATTAGTTCCTCTTTCACAAAGGGTACAATGTTGTTAGTTTCATCATTCAAATTATCAACTGAATTTGACTCTGCCTGCTGTGACTGGACCTCACTCTTGTTCGAAGCACTGAAAACTGAAGGTGGATGCGGCTGTGGATAACTTCTAGGTCTCCAATTAGCCTGGAATTTGGGGATTAATAAGAGGAGGATTGCGCAAAAGATAACAGAGAGCAGGAAGCAGATCTTACTGAACCAAATGCAGGAACAGCTCATTCTTCAGCCCAAGGGGCCTTTGCCATGTCGTAAGATTGGGACATATTTCCAAGTGAAGTAGACGCCTCTGAGAAAAATAGAGATTGATCACAGCTTTGCACAGTTGTGTGTGTATCAGACAAATCTAACAAATTTCCAGCTATACAGCATCATCTTCATGGCACTCAAACACCACAAAGGCCCACTAAACTTTCAGTTTCTTTCCCTTGCCTGGCTAATAATAGTACAAGGACTGTTGGTGCCTTTACAGGGCGGGGTCACAGACACAACCTGCAAGCTAATTAATAAATGCATCAATTAAAACAAATGCAAGCTTAAAAGTACACATTGACTACACATACTCTGCAAGACTTTGTGCTTGTAATTTAGAATCAGTTGACTCGGTTTCCCATTGTGCCCAGTATGCTGATATACGTTATAATCTTTTAGACTCAATTTCATTCAATTTCTCAGGCCATTCAGACGCCTTGATGGTGTACCATCTTCTTAACGACTTGTCACCTGAAATAACTGAAAAAGTAGCCCTATTTTTAAGTTTGGTAATCAAGAACTGATTAAAAATGCTTATATTTAAATTATCCTTGTTACTGCTATATTTGCTTTCTGTGTGTATGGATAACTTGATATATGCCAATAAAGGCTTTTTGTTGTTGTTGTTGTTGTACACACTGACTAGTAGAGAGATTGAGTTGTTGAAGAGGTTGGCTGAAAACTAGGCAAATGGCAGCCTTGGGCACCCATACCTTCGATCCTTGTAAACTTGCATGGTCAGGACCCTATTAGCATACCTATTCAGTTCACAGGCAGCTCAGGCTCAACTAGCTAAGCATGTTTTTTAATGTTATAAAGCTGAACACACTCTAGAATGTTATATACATTAAAAGTGAGCATAAGTTTTTAAAAGCATCTTTAGCTATACTAAAATAGGAGGGAATGCAACTAAAACAGAGCTCCTTCACTCAAATTCAAGTTATTAAAAAATCTTCCTGTTGCCCTTCTGTCTCTTGCATGCCAAGTTTAACTTTATTTCAATAATCGCAATCATACATAATTTTAAAGCTGATTGTTTTGTCTAATCCCAAACTCCATCTGCCTAACAGCATTGTATTTAAGGCAACAGCATTCATACAAAGAAAGAACTGTGAAAGAACTTTTTTCACTGTATTACTTCACCTGATTTTCACTTTATTTATTTATTAAAACATTTATATCCCATCTCTCCTCATGGCTCAAGGAAGCTTACAATTATAGCTAAAAACAGTTAAAATCAACTCAGAATAAAATGACAAACCTCAAATCCCCCCCCCCCATGCCTACCGTTCAAACCCCTTCAAAAGCCCTGGCAAACAAGCAAGTCTCACCAGGCCTCTGGAAGTTCTTAAAGCCCTCACTTCTTCAGGGAGCCCATTCCACAGAGCAGGAGCTACAATGGCACACCGAATTCTGTACAACATCAGACTGTCAGTTTCACAGACCAGCCTGGTCAATGCCTGGATGGAAGTCTGCCCTGGAACTCTAATCAAGTTGTTTTAAGCTTCCAAACAGAACAGAGGGCCATAAATAAGAGTAACAGAATCAAAGCCAAGTATCTACAATGTACCTCCAGTAATCCCAATAACTCCAATGGCAGCTTTCCCCGAAACAGGAGAGAAGATAGCAGAATTGTAGCCTGGCTCAATTTATCTTCAAAGCAACATAACAAGCAAAGATGTTGGACATTTGCATAAGCTACCGTACCGTGCCAATAAAATGACGACGACGACAGCATTTTTGTGTGTGTGTATGTTTCCTGGGACACTTCAACCCCCACCCACAAGGCCCGTCTAGGGAGACGAGACCAGGAGCTAATGTCTGGGACTCTTCCCAACTGTTTAACCTTCCCAACCCGGTTTGGCATGATGACTGCAACCCCGAGCGGTCACCATGGCAACAGGACATGACACACACCTTAACATCCCCCTTCCGCCGCTGGACGAACGCTGCGAGAATTCTGACCACCATCTACTTGCCGCATCTCCAAGGAGACTTTCTCTTTCAAGGGGCAGTGAAAGAAGCTAGAGCAGCTGCTGCTCGTCTTGCTTATCAGCTGCTTCGTTTAGGATCTAGAGCCGGGCAGGAGGGTGCCGCGGCCCCTTTAAAGACTTCACCTGTAGGACGGACGTGATCCAATTAGTTGCGGCAAGCAACCTGGAAGTGGAAGTTGGTGGGGAGGGTTAGTGACCCGGAAGTGTAAGGTGCGGGGGTCAATATGCCGCTACCCGTCCAAGTCTTTAATTTACAGGTATCGAGGAAGTTTTGGGGGGTGGGTTGGGTTTTTTTTTAAAAAATGGAGGGATGTATGTGAGACCGGTTAGAATAGATGGTGGTCTGAGAGGGGTGGATCTGGTGGGCCCGCTCCGGTTACCGCCGAAGCTCGCGCTCCTGGAGTGAGTGGAGTGAGCGAGCGAGGGCGTGTGTGTGTGAGTGAGTGTGTGAGTCAGGTTGGCTGGCTGGCTGGCTGGCTAACAACCTTATAGACGTAGGAAAAGAAAGGAGAAGCCAGGCCCGTTGACTGGGTCAGGGCAAAGATGTTCGGCTGCAGTTAGGGAGAGCTTCCTTCTCTCTTGGCAACGAAGAGGCCTGTCCTGCCTTTGGCTCCAGAGTCTCCTTTCGCGGACTCTTGGATTCGAGCCCTCTTATTCGGTGGGCGTTGTTAGGGTGATTCCTGGGGATGGTTGGTGTCAGGGCTTAACATACAATTTTTGGCAGCTAATATAGCCACTTTGTTTCATTCTGGTGCAAGTGGATTGAGCCCCACTGAGTGCTGACACTAAACTATGTAACTTAAATACTGCATAATATCTTTTTGAGTAGAATTCTGAGGTAAAAATATTTTTTTCAGAAATTTTGTAATATAGTACGTTGAAGAAGGAGTTTTGTTTTTTGCTTTTAAAAAAGCAATCATTTCCCTGCCTACGTGCACCACAGTAAGGCCTTAGATGAGACCATAGTATTATTTATAACATGGGGAATTATTTGATCACCTGACCATGACATGCTCCTCCAGTTTTTGGGTACAGATTTTGTTCTTGCCATTAGGTAAACATAATTTTAAAAATAGGTTCTGGGTTTAAAGTTTGGAGTAATTGAGTATTTTGTTGCTTTTCTTAGCAAACCCAGAGCCAGTTTGGTGTAGTGGTTAAGAGCATGGACTTCAGTCTGGGAGAACTGGATTTGATTCCCCACTCCTCCACATGCAGCTTCTGGTGTGACTTTTTGGGTTAGTCATAAGTTCTTTCAGAGCTGTTCTCTCAAGGACAGTTCTTGAGAGAGCTCTCTCAGCACCACCTACCTCACAGGGTGTCTGTTCTGGGGAGGGGAAGGGAAAGAAGATTTTAAACTGCTCTCTGAGACTCCTTTGGGTAGTGAAGGGTGGGGTATAAATCCAATCTCCTCTTCTTCTACTTCTTCTTTTGTGGTCCAGCATTTGCCTCAAGAGAGTAGACAGATCAAAACCAACAGAGACAGGGTATCTGAAGTATGGAACAGTCCTTCTATATTTATAGTTGTTGTGGCATAGTACCTTCTTAGAGAAATAAGTGAATAACAGTACCATTCTAAATAGAGTTACACCCTTCTAGCCTGTGGATCTCAGTGGGCTTAAAAGAGTGTAACTTTGCTTAGGATGGCACTCTAAAAAAAGCAAAGAGTGTAACTTTGCTTAGGATGGCACTCTAAAGCACTGTTTCCCAAACTGAGCCTAAGCATTGCTCCTTGATTTTTCTGCCTCAGACATATTTGGGTCTTTGGCTATGATGACATTGTAACTGTACAATGTGCTTGATCTCATAGGGTGTTCGAACAAAATATTTATAGTATACCTTGGGAAGAAATACATGTGTCTTTTCTCTAGCGTGTGCTGCCATCTCCAGTGAGGCTCACAATTTCAGACTGTATTTGCCATACTGAGATTTAGCCTGTAGATTAAGCACTGTGATGGGCTAGCACATGATTCTCTGACAGTATAAAACATCTGGCAGCATCTCTCTCTGTGTGTGTGGGGGTGTCAGTCAAGGCTAAGATATAGTGTAGAGTACTGTTCGGTTTGAGCTTTTCAGTTTTCTAGCTTTCACCTTTGTAAAGGTCCATGCACAAATTTTGTGCCATGTTCCATCTCCCTTCTCTTAGAGATGTTCTGTAGTTAACCATAAGAGAAACTGACTGCAAATGCTACCTAATAGAGAATTTCTTGGAATTGATCTAATCTGCTTATTGTAATTTATCTGATCTGTTGATTGTAATTAGTGGGTGTTGAATGCAAGCCTGTGATGTCTTGGAATTCTTTGATTGACAGTTTCTTAAGTATGGAAGAAATGAAGGCCTACAATGAAAGCATAAGTTAGCCAAAGCATATTATTCTAGCCCTAGGATGAGTGAGATTGTCTATGACTGCCAAGGTATTAACTACCTTTCTTTCCTTTAGCAGCCGGCAAGCTCTGTGTCAGGGCGAGGGGGTGCAGAGAGTCAGGACAGGATGAGGGATAGTTCAGTTCCAAGCTCAGCTTCATCGTCAGTGACAGATCTATTCTGCACCCCTCACAGCAGTAGGTCAGACCTCTTCCTCCCAGGTACATCTGGAGACTTCAGCCTGAGTGCCAGCTTATCAGCTTGTACCCTGCTCTATGAGGTATCTCAAAGGAGAAAGTACTCTGGGGTGACTGCGTGAGAATGGCTTAAATGTTACCAGCCTTAAGGCATATTTATCTAAAACAGCTCCTTTCTCAGAAATGAATTAATCTGTTTAAAACAATAAGGGATTTTGCACGGTATGGCTGAATGCCATGTTTAAATGTTTGTGGTACCCTAAGGGTGGACAGTGGGATTGGCAGACCAAGTTGGGGTGAGGGGGAAGGAGTGGGTTATAATACAGGGGTGGACTGAAAAGTTAAAATGGCCCTGGAACAAGTCAAGCAAAATGGCCCCTGTGGTGCTGCAAGCTAGCACTACAGGGCCACTCACCTCGACAGTGCCGCTAATAGGTGTTGGCTCATGCATTTTCTCCTCTTACAAATTGGCAGCAGTGTGAGGAGAGCCCATTGGTGAACTTACACTGATCATCATTACCATTAAAGGTCCAAGACAACTGTTCTCTGAGGTACTGGCAGAGTTCCTGGAGCTTGCTCCTAGGCAATACCAGGAAATAACCTTCTAAGTTAAATCATCAGTCTGACCCTTCTGTAACCTTTTGCAGAAGTTGAAGATGAATAATTTTGTGTTCTAGCACCAGACTTGTTCGTGAATAAGAAAGAAACTAAAATTCCATCTGAAAACCTTCCAAAATACTGTGTCCAGAAATCTTACATTTTAGGGAGGGGTGATAGGTTTGTGGTTTGAATGCAGAGAGTTCTAGGTTCAGTTCCTGCTGTCTCTAGTTAAATGGATTTCAGGTAGCAGAGTTGGGATAGACCTTTGGGATAGACCTTGGAGAACAGCTGCCACTCAAAGTCAGCAGCTGTGGGCTAGATGGACCAGTAGTCTCGTTCAGTATAATGTGGTTTTTGCCACATTCAAGATCAGACCAACAAGCTTAATTTTATCTTGCATAAGTGTATCCCCCTGCCCTCCCTCCCTTCTATAGGTGGTAAGGTCTCAGTGGGAAGGACAGAAGGGTCTGGGCTTGAGGGCTGTGGAGAGAGTATTAACGCATGGAAGGTTCAGACATTCTTTTCATCGTTATTAAATCACTAACCATCCTTCTGCTTCCCATGCATTTTAGTTTTCTCTTAAACTACAAGGGTACACAAAAATTGTTGAGACTAAGGAAACTAAAAGTTTTAGCACCATTACTGCACATATGTGTCTAATTTTACATGATTTGTTGCTGCTTTAGCTAAGAGGATATAAAAAGAGCAATTTTCCTGGAGGAATTTTTATGTTAATGTCCTTCAAGAAACCGTTTTCACATCCAAACAAGTGCTATTGGGCTCCTGTGTGTAGTGGTGAATTCTGGCTGATGTTTTTGGTTTTAATATTATGGCATAACCTGCATGTTTACCTCTGTTGGTTTCTTCTTTTTAATGAACAACTTTGGAGTCTGTAGTTTTAATTGGAGGTATGTAGAAGAGGTGCTGAATCACTTTTCTTGGTTTTTTCCCCTCAAATTGGCTTCCCAAACTGCATCTCCTCCTACAGAATTTCAGGTGCATAATACCCACTGTAGATATGCATCTGAAGCAGTGAAAGGAGGGAGTGCTTTTGAGTAGGAAACCAGCTCGCAGGTAAAGAGTTAAACATCCCTCCCACTCTTCAATTTAAAATTGCAATCTTCCTACTTTTAGTTTAAAACAAAAGAACTGTTAGAATTCATTACACACACTTACACGTAATGTATAGTTTGTGTAGGACACTGGCCAAGCCTGCTGCGTCTCAGTGATGCCCTGCATCAACCAAACAGGGTTTTGCAGGCGAAGACATACATTTTCCTGCTCATCTGTATCATGACTCGTAAGCTGTCAGCCTACCATTTGTAGTAAAGTGAGAGTGTACATTTGTTTGGTTTCTATCCATGCTTTCCCAAATAGCTTTGCTTTTTAAAGTTGCTTTTGTGTGTCATGATTGGAATGCAAGAGCATGCAGAGATGTGTTTTGCGAAATCATGAAACAGCTTCCTCTGGACACATGACAAACCAAAGCTTAAGGCTGTGAGGTTTTTTAACGTACTGATTCTTTTTCTAAACACAAGCTTAAGTAGGCTTGGGTAAATGAACTGTGAAAAAATAGGGAAGATCTTTTTTGTTTCCTTATTTTACATTTTCTTTATTTCTCTTCCAAACATAAAAAGACTTCATGTGTCCTTGATTCTTGGGCTCAAGCGTGTCATTAGGTCATGACCATGAAAACTTATAATCCCAGTTCTTATAGGTAAAGAAGTTTTCAGGTGTTTGTAAAGACCTTTCTCATGCCTGAGATCTTGGGGCACTGCAGACAGTCAAGAAACATTAGTAACCTACATGGGTTGTGGCCCAGTGGTAGAGCACCTGCTTGGCATGCAGAAAATCCCAGGTTCAATCTTTGTCATTTCCAGTTAAACTATTAAGTGACAGTTGATGAGAAATACTTGTACCTACTGGATACTGACCTTGATGCTCCAATGGTCTGATTCAGTATAAAGCAGCTTCATGTGTTCCTGGGCCAATGGTCTAGCTCAGGAGAAAGCAGCTTGGTAAGTTATCATCAAAGCTTCTGTGCTTCACCCTGAAAAGCCACTAAGAGCATTGCTAAAAAGAGATGTGGGAGAGCAATACTTGAAATGGTAGGCAGGTCATATCTGCTGATGCAGGAGGATCTTTCTCATATGATTGGGAAGGAGACTCTTAGGTTCTGTTTTACATACATATTGCTGCTGTTGCAGGGTGCGGTAGAGCCCATGCAGATTGATGTAGACCCACAAGAAGATCAGCAAAATGCACCTGACATCAACTACGTGGTGGAGAATCCAACTCTGGTATGTACTAGAAGGTAAAAACAGCAGACAGGTCATAGCTAAGCTATATAGAAGTACTGGTCGAAACAGACATTCGCTCTGTATCTAGCATAGGTAGTGTTTTCCTCAAAAACATCTGCCAAACATTCCCATCTAACTTGTGTGTTCCTGCTCACCTATATGTACGGACTAGTATTTTCCATTTTTGTTTTTGTCACTTCCTAGCAACTAACCCCCCTTCCTATATGTAATGGTTGAGAAAATTCTGTTTCATTGTATCTGAAGAAGTGTGCTTGTACACAGAAGCTTATACCCTGGATAAAACTTTGTTGGTCTTAAAGGTGCCACTGGACTCAAACTTTGAACATGTCCTAGTTGGTTTTCCAACTTGGTCTTTTTAGCATCTTGAGGAATTGGCTGACCAGCATTGTCCATATAATGAGCTCCATGCACAACACTTCCTATCCTGAAATGAAACATCTTCACAATGCCTGTACTTGGGGTAGGGGATGGCTGCTGTGCCAGGCCCTTTCTTGAAACCAAGGGGACCCATACTGCCTCTTTGATGAATCTGGGGAACCTACTTGTTTTTGTGATATAATCCTTCCCCTCAGTAACAAGATGTTCTTAGGGTTGCAAATGTAAAGGCTTTGGGTCACTGCTGTGAGGTTAGTTTTGTACTGAGCCTGGAGAGTATAGAGATCACTGAAGCAGTCGGTTTAAAGAAGATTTATTTAGTTACAGGTTATGTGGTGAATTCTCTTTAAAGGTTGTAGTTACCAGGTCTGCGCATCACCAGAGTCAGGCCTCACAACTCTGTCCTCTCCCAGAGGCAGAGTTAAATCACTGTGCCACACTATCAGGCAGATATACACACAAAATTATTTGCTCTCTTGCTGAGACAATTCTCTCCTGCCTCCACTTTCCTTCAGGCAGCCCTCAAGTCCCCTCTGGAAAGAGATTGGCTGCTGGAGCAGCACTCCCATTGGTTGAGGTGTGAAAAATGTTGGGTGGCTGTTTTACCTCTCAAGGGCAGGACTGTCTCCTGACCATCGCAGCTGCATTCTGCTCTTCCCCCTCTGACAGGCTATCCCTCTTCTGAACCACATTCTTTAGGAGAGGGTTATGATATGGTTCTGTCACCAAGGCCAAGATTGCCATGAATTCCCAATGCTGAAGACTTCTATTCTGCACTTGCTTGTAGGAAGGAAACCACTACAACCTAAATTGTAAATTGGACCAAATTGTTTTAAGTTTATTCATTTATTTGTAATATTTTCATGCTGCCTCTTCAGAGTTCTTTTCGAGGCAGCTTACAATTAAAACACATAGTATAAAACATAAGCCATTAGACATACACAGCATTAAACTGTCCATAATAATTGGTGTACTGTATTTTATCATTTTGTATTGGTTGACACAACAGTACTTCATCAAAAGTATTGCTTAACAAAGATAAATCCAGGTAGTCAGCTGTGTTGGTCTGAAGGTTAACAAAGAGACGGAGCTGGTGCAGATTGCTCTTGTACAAACAGAGTACAAAAGCCAAAAGGTGAGGTAGTTATAAATATGAGTCATAAAAGGACAGGATTTTGGCCCAGAAGTGATTTCTACCTGACCCAGTGGCACAAATGGTGGGGAAGACATTTCCCTGTCCCAGCCCTGATCCCAGAATCCTATGGTTCCTCTTTTTGGCCAATGGAAAGAGGGATCAAGCTGATATTTGAGCTACTAGCTTAAATTCTGTCTCTTCTTCCTGCTGGGGCTTGCAGGATCTAGAGCAATATGCAGCGAGCTACAGCGGCCTGATGAGAATTGAGCGGCTGCAGTTCATTGCTGACCACTGCCCGCAGCTGCGCGTGGAAGCACTCAAGATGGCTCTGTCATTTGTCCAAAGAACATTCAATGTTGACGTTTATGAAGAAATTCATCGGAAACTGACTGAAGCCACAAGGTACTGATATGAAGAAGAAGCTCAAAATGCCTTGTTTGAGATGCATAACTCTGAAGAGAAATCTCTAGCTATTGAGGACATCCACAATGGCCAAAACAAAAGGAGTCTTGTGACATGTTTACTGAAGGAACTCTTGTGGGCTAGAGCCCATGTTGTCGGATGCATAAAATGAAATCTCAGCAGAGTGATATAGGTAGCAGAGGGAATTATGAGCAATGGTTAGCAGGCTATGAAATGGAGGAGGTACAGCTTGTGGTATTTCTATACAAACCATAAAAGTATACAAGATAAGCATAGTGACCATTTTCAATAGTGCATTTAATGCTTGTTGTGTAGGCTAAGGTATTAGATCTGTCCAACTGTTTGTTAATATTTCAAAGGGAGATTCCTGTGAGAAGTTGTTGAATTAGAATTCATAATTTCTTCATTGGAGTCTCCTTTTGAAGTTTCTTTGAAGCATGGTGAACCTCAGGTCTGCTGAGGAGAACCCTGCTAGATTGAAACATTTTGCCGCAGATTGTTTGATCTTGAATTTGTGTCTGCATAGAGGCATGACCAATTTGTCCTATGTAGACAGCAGATGGATGTTGACAGATGATAGCACATATCACACTGGAGGAACTGTAGTTTCATGAGCCCCTGCAAGTGTGGCTGACATTATTAGGTCCTGAAATAGTGTTGCCTGAGGGGATATGGGGACAGAGTTCATATCTGGGCTTGTTGGAGGGTGTCACCCCTGGGCTAATGTCTTTGGCAGGTAGTCCGTTGTTGGGGCTGGCTGTAAGCAAGTAAAGTTGTGCTTCCCAAGGTCTGTGCGATGATCTCTATGCACAGCACTTATTATTCTGAAATGAAAGCATCCTCACAAGGTCTTTAGTTGGGTTAGGGGGACTAACAAAAATAAAGCCATAGTACACAAACTAAACATCTGAATACTACTCTTACGGTTTACCACTCTTCACCACTCTTACCGTTTATTGTTGTACGTAGATGATAGTTGACTATGTCGCCCATACACATTTACTGCCTCTTCTTTGCAGAGAGCTCCAGAACACACCTGACGCTGTCCCAGATGGAGGGATGGAGCCCCCTCCTCTAGACACAGCTTGGGTTGAGGCAACACGCAAAAAAGCTCTTCTCAAGTTGGAAAAGCTGGATACAGATCTAAAGAACTATAAGGGGAATTCAATCAAGGAAAGCATCAGGTGACATGCACTAAGATCTTTTAGACAAAGCAAAACATAATATCCTGATTTGAAATAAGGAATTTTACATCGGTTCCAGAATATTTTTTCATCCAAGATGTGCCTTTGGGAGTTGCTTTGTGGTTATACAGTTGGGGTTCATCTTTCAAAAATGGCATCTAATCCATTGAAGTAGATAGGTCCAGGAACTTGGTTTGTGTTCATCAGGTCATCTGTGTGTAAATGTTACATGGATGACCTATTTAGATAGAGAAGACCTTTCATGTGTATGTTCTCTCAGAATCATTCCCAACACTGCTTTGTATATATGAAATGCTTCCCACACACTTTCACCCCAGATTCTGCAGCCAGAATATATTGTGTTGGTTAAGTTATGTAAACGTCTGCTGTATTCATGGTTTTCACAGAAGTAGCATTATTTCAGTGTGATGGGCTTCTGAATATTTTGAAAGGAAGTGAATGTATAGAAGGAAAAGTAGAGCTGTCTGTAAACAACAGATGGAGACTTTGTAGCACAAAAACACCAAGGAACTGTTCCTAAATACCTTTAGTGATTGATGTGTCTCTCAAGATGGTTGCTGGGTCCTAATACAGAATAGTAGAATATCAAGCATATTTTCTGTAACTCGTCAAAATCTGTGAAAATTTGTATAATGTTAGAATCCATGAAACCCTGGTTTTTCTCTATAACACACTTGGCACCTAGACTTCCATCAGGGTTAAGCAAAGGGTTTTTCAAAAAGTTATGTATATATCCTTATCTATTTTTTTTTTTTGCTGCTATGCCATGTCCCTTCTTTCTAGGAGAGGCCATGATGACTTGGGTGATCATTACCTTGACTGTGGAGACCTTAGCAATGCTCTCAAATGTTACTCACGAGCCCGTGATTATTGCACCAGCGCAAAACATGTTATTAACATGTGCCTCAATGTTATCAAGGTATGGCATGTCAGTGGCCCTTTACAAAGGGGACACGCCAATGGAAATCTGTTTTTGTCAAGGACTCACATATAACTCATAAAACAAATCTCCCCTTTTCTTTTCCCTATGCTCTTTGAAATATACAGACTGTTAACCTTTCCCCAGCCTTTGGTAATTCCTAGCTTGGACGCCCCCCCCCACCCCCCCAAGCCTTCTTTTTCTCAACTGTGCATGTTACAAGAACACAGAATGACCAGTAACTGTTAACCTTTGTTCTTACCCTAAGTCCTCTTTCAGTATTGTGGTATTTCTGCTTGTTTCCTTGCAGGTCAGTGTTTACCTTCAGAATTGGTCCCATGTCTTGAGTTATGTGAGCAAGGCAGAGTCTACGCCAGAAATTGCAGAGGTAGTTTGCTTTTTTCAACATGAATATAACCAGAAACCCTATTTGACACTTGCAGGCCCATGCTTTTATTTCATCTGATACCCTGGCTTAATATGCTGAAGCTGCCACAGTCTCCTCGGCCTCCATAGTCTAGCTCTAGATAAGTCTATTTGGTCCTGTCTCATTTATTTATTTATTACTTTGGATTTGTGAATTGTCCAATCCCTGCACACACAAGGCCCCGGGCAATGTCCCCTTAAATAGCTCTGCTCTTCCTTGGATTGTGAGGTGGAGGATTGTCAAGATAAACTAGTGACTGAATTTCAGGGTAGTGATCAGGTTCAGAAATATCCCGGGTGGGGTGGGTGGGGTGGGGCGCAAGGATGCCATTGGAAATGGCAGCTTAAAACCGATGCTTCGCAACTCTTCCTCCTGAAAGAAACAACTGATCGCATCAAAATATTAGAAGAACGGCACTGGAAAACAGGAAGTAAGAAAATTTTGGGGGACATATCTGGACTACAGATTAACCCATCAAAATCGTAAATGTTCCCTATACATCTGGAACAGACAACTTTATCAGAGATTGTACCCATATAAATGGGTCACAGAAAATTGGAGACATCTAGGGGTACAAATACCCCTTAATCCAAAACACCTCTTTAAAAGCAACTACCAAAAGCTATTTAAAAACATTAAGAACGAATTAAATAAATGGGAATCCCTAAAACCATCTTTATCTGACAGGCTTCATATAATCAAAAGCTTTATCATCCCAAAATTTCTGTTCTTATTCAGGGCCCTCCCTATATTTATAGCTAAAAAAGACTTTAACAATTGGCAAAATACCATGATGTGATTCTTGTGGAACGGTAAGAAATCAAGATTGAACCGAAACATATTACATAGACCATCAGGCTTAGGGGGGATAGACTTTCCCCATTTATCTTCTTACTACCAAGCCTCTATTCTGTCTCATATAACTCAAATGCTATATATAGATCAACATAACCCCTGGATGCAGATAGAAAACAAGTACTCCAAACCATACAATCTGCAAGAAATGTTTTGGATTCCACCAGCACGCATGGCCGAAAATGATAAAAAATAATTTCTTGCTCACTACATCGATTAAGATATGGGACCAAAGGAAGAAGCTTCTCCCTCCAGGTATATCATTACTAACAACTTACACAAATCAAGAATGGTTCCCACAGGGCATGCTACCTAATGCATTCGAAAAATGGATAAAGGTGGACTTGAGACGGCTTTGTGACCTTGTGCAAAAAAGGCAAAATACAAGAAAAAATCTAGTTTGGTCAGAAATTAGAGGAACACGTCCCCTGGTTTCAATATTTACAGTTAAAAAATTTAATAGAACATCTGGCTGACTCAGGGCTATTTCAAAGAAAGTTGACAGACTTAGGAAAAGTAATCCTAGCTTTTCCTAAAGCTCTGAAAGGGGTGCTTTTAAAATTTTACAAAAAATTAATGAAAGAAGATAATGCAAACAAACTAGCCTATCAAAATAGATGGGAAGAAGAACTTAATCTAAATCTACAAGAATCAGACTGGAATGATATTTGGGCATCTCCTGCAAACAAATCCTCAATATACAATATCCGGTTACAATTCTTTAAAATGACTTCAAGGTGGTACCTCACACCGCAACAGTTACATAAAATAAATCCAACAATATATCCTACATGTTGGAAAATTCTGGAAGGCAGTGATAACACAGATAAATAGGATCTCAAATACCATGCAACCCAGAGGTGGCACTGCTAAACTTACGGAATGATGTTATGACAGGGAACAGCAAAGAACTCACCTCAATGCTACTCGCTGCAGCTAGGCTGACAATAGTAGCGGCGTGGAAATCACCTTTACCGCCCACTATAACGGCTTGGCAAGAGAAGATCTGGGATCACTTCATAATGGCTAAAATCACAGACTCCTTGAATACAGCGAATAATAGCAATATACCAACTTACACTAAATTTGTTAGGATATGGGCCCCAGTGCTTGAATACATGGTAACGAACGATATACTTCCAGCAAAGCAAATATATCATAAATTGTTATATTTATAGTTCACTGTTAGTGTATACAAATAAGATAACTCATGATCCACAAGACTGCCAACTCTCAGAAATACACCCGTGCTGTATAGTATTATGACTATCTGTAAGTTATTAATTTAATCGCAACATACAGAAACTACAACTTATTGTGTTTATTTGTATTTTGTAAATCCTTTAGCAAAAACAATAAAAATATTTACAAAGGTAAAAGAAAAGAAAAAAAGAAATATCCCGTGTGAAGTAGAACGGAGTCCCAATTTTCTTTTTGTCATGCTTGGCAATGTGTTGTGTATATGTTCTCTATGTGAGCCTTGGGTGTACCCATCTGCCTTTCCGGATATGCTGCTTGGGCTTTGCTGAAGGCCAAGGTAGTTGCACAACAGAAGGGCCTTTTCAGTCAGGTTTAATGGAAATAATTAGCTAAAAGCCTTTTGCTTATTTGCTGATTCTCTACCTTTTCCTTTCTTCCCCCAACAGCAACGAGGAGAACGTGACAGCCAGACGCAGGCAATCCTCACCAAATTGAAATGTGCTGCAGGTGAGCAAGTGAGATGTGTATTTTGTGGACAGGGTGTTCCCCCACACACACACACATTGACTTGTCTTTGTATTAGGCAGACTTGCTGTGTATACATAGTGCTACCTGCAGGCACAATAACACTTCCTGCCCAAACAATTTCCTGTAGAAAGAGATCCAAGAACAGCCTTCGTATTTTAATGTCTTCTTCCATAGTACGGAAATATGTAACTCATGTCCCTTAGTCCTCATGAACAAAATATTTAACTGGTTTTGCTTCCTAGGCTTGGCTGAGCTAGCTGCCCGGAAATACAAGCAGGCAGCAAAGTGCTTCCTCTTGGCCTCGTTTGATCACTGTGACTTCCCCGAGGTAAGGACTAGGAGGAATTGTGAATAGGGGTTTGTTTGGAGGAGGTTTCTGGATGAGGTTCCAGTTTTGGCCTATTTCAAGTTGGGTGTGATTTATGAAACAGCTATATTCCTCGAGGACTAGCACTTCCTCGAGTTTAGAATCTCAAAATAGGGGTCAGGCTATCTAGCACTTTCTTGCTTACAGCTGAAGCTCTGTATCAAAATGTTATTCCTCAGAATCCTTCTTCCTTTCTCTAGCTGCTGTCTCCTAGCAATGTAGCTGTGTATGGTGGCCTGTGTGCACTAGCTACCTTTGACCGTCAGGAATTGCAACGCAATGTCATCTCCAGTAGGTGAGTGGTTCAGCCACAAACCAGTTGAAGCAGAGTCCTTTGTAGTTTGAGTTGCTCTTAGCCTTTTGCAGGCACTTGGCTCCCTGGAAGTCACAGATTCAAATGAGACCGTAGTTTAGTGATAGAGTCATGGATGAGCTGCTATATGTGGACCTTAATTTTCCCAAGAACAATATGCCTACCCAGTGATATTGCCTGAAGATGAATGAAAATAGGTTGTTAACATCCTCTTAAATTAAAATTATAGAGAATAGGGTAGTTGTATTTGGTGTCTGTTCATCTTTCCCTCCTGTCCCTTCTCTGTCACCCTCAATAAAGCCCTTTAGCTGTTTCGCCCTGACCTGGATAGCCCAGGCAAGCCCAATCTCATCAGATCTCAGAAGCTAAGCAAGGTCAACTCTGGCAAGTACCTGAGTGGGAGAACTCCTTGAAATACTGTTCTCCCTTTCACTCAATGAAATTGCTGAGCAGGAGGGTTAGAATGGATAAAAGGAAATACTTCTTCACCCAAAGAGTGATTAACACATGGAATTCACTGCCACAGGAGGTGGTGGCGGCTACAAGCATGGACGGCTTCAAAAGGGAATTAGATAAGCATATGGAGCAGAGGTCCAGCAGTGGGTATTAGCCAGAAGGTATAGATAGGGGCTCTGGGGCAAGTGATGCTCTGTCTTCTTGGTGCTTGGGGGGGTCAACAGTGGGAGGGCTTCTAATGTCCTGGCCCCACTGGTGGACCTCCTGATGGCACCTGGTATTTCTGGCCACTGTGTGACACAGAGTGTTGGACTGGATGGGTCTTTGGCCTGATCCAACATTGGCATCTCTTATGTTCTTAAATACAGGAGGTGGGGGGGAGGCTTTATTCAGCCACCTCTCTCAATATCCCCCAAGCCCCCAGTAGGGGTCAGTCGCCAGAGGTTGCCATGACTTCCAGGTGCACACACTCACATGCACATATGGAAAATACAAAACAATACCCAAAAAATGCCCTTTAGCTGTTTCATTGTGACTGTAGCTTGTGCAGCAGCTGTGGAAGGGCAAGAGTGGTACCAAGCAGGGGAAAGATTAAGTAGCTCCTCCCCTATCCTGTACTCCTGATTTCAACCTGGTCAAGAGCTGAGATTCAGTGGTAGAGGGGAGCTGCTTTGCATGCAGAAGGTCCCAGGTCCAATGCCAGGCCATCTGCTGTTTAAAGGATCCTGAGCAGATGTTCAAAAAGTCCCTTCCTGCAATATACTGAGCTAAATGCCTTCCCTCAACAAGTGGCACATATTTAGGATTCAACTAGGTCTACTGGCTCTTTATGCCAATAAAGGTTAACTGAACTGAACTGGCTCTTTGTGCCCATCTTCTGGCACTCTTAGAGTAGGGAGTAGTCTAGAGGCTAGAAGAGAATATGGAAGACGGATGATTCTAGCCTCTAACCACTGTTGTCTCTGCAGTTCCTTCAAACTCTTCTTGGAGCTGGAACCACAGGTCCGTGATATCATCTTCAAGTTCTATGAATCCAAATATGCCTCATGTCTCAAGATGCTGGATGAGATGAAGGTGCGTTCTAGAGGTTTGAGCGAGTGTATATAGAGAAGGGGCGGGAACAGCATTTATGTGGCTGCAGTTTAACTCTTTCCTACCATGCAAACTTAACTTTTGGCAAGAAGCAGAGATGCATGGTTGAATGAGGAAGGTGTTCACTTATTTTGAAATCACTGTGTTTTTAATAGATGGCAGTACCTTGTGGAAGGCTGCTGCAAAAAAAGACAGAGTAGACTGTTGTGTGTAAATGTTCAAAGGCACCTGTCAAATCCCCTCCCCACAAAAACTCTCCAAGTGCTTTTTTATGATTACCCTATACCATTTTGGCAGGTTGCATTAGTGCCCTAGTCTGAACTGATTGCTAGCTGTTTTATTGGTCTGGTGTTCAGTCTGCATGAGGGTTTTGTATTTGTCTGTTGTTTGCTAGACTTTGTTTATGGCTGCTGTTTCATAATTGAAGAATTTTTAATGCGTTGGCCTGTTAATTGTTTTATTGTTTTAGACCGCTGGTTTGTTTCTGTACATGTGTCGAGTGAATGACTTTGCGTGCATACAAAGAAAAATCATATGTATGCTGTGCAGTTACATGGATTCTACTCTTGTTCACTATACCATGCACAGGTTGGGGAAAGCATTCTGGGTGAGAGGAGAGTGGCCATGGCTCAGTTGGTAGAGCATCTGCTTGGCATGTGGGAGGTCCAGGGCTCAATCCCTGGCATCTCCAGTTAAAAGGACCAGGCAGTAGGTGATGTGCAGGATCTCAGCCTGAGGCCCTGGTGTGCCTCTGCCAGTCTGAGTAGACAATACTGATCTTGATGGACCAAGGGTCTGATTCAGAATAAGGCAGCTTCATGTGTTCAAGTCTTCCCAGTAGCATTATTTAGTACTGTTCTCATTTTGTACAGGATAACCTGCTACTGGATATGTACCTGGCACCTCACGTGAGAACGCTTTACACACAGATCCGAAATCGGGCCCTCATCCAGGTAACTTCTCACTAACAGTTGAAGGGATGTCATTCTCTGACTGGCCTTCACTGAGTGCAGTGCAGAGAATAACTGATGGACACTTCTTTTTTTCCTGCATTCCTAGTATTTCAGCCCCTATGTGTCAGCAGATATGCACAAGATGGCCACAGCATTCAACACCACGGTGGCAGCTCTGGAAGATGAACTCACTCAGCTGATCCTGGAAGGGCTGATTAATGCCAGAATAGACTCTCACAGCAAGGTGAGTGCCTATATCTCTGACTCTTGCTGAAAATTTATGGCTCCAGAACTGACTGCTTGACCTGCCTTTTCTCCATGATGCAGTATGCTGCATTGATAAATATACACTGTGCAATATAAAAGTAAAGCCTGCATCACATGCCAAAGAAACCTTGAGGCTTTAGATCTGCTGGAGCATCTCCATAGACTGAAGGATTTCTGATTTTGAAGGGTAATTGTCTCACCTTCTCCCTTTTGCTGCTGTCTAAAACATTCCTTCCAAGTCCTGCAGAGACGCTCCAGTGAATTCATCTCGGACTCTTGAAAATCCACTTGTTGCACAGAAACATAATATATTTGGGAATTGATCAGAAATTTGGGAGTATGGCTCAATTCTTTGCTCTCCATGGGCAAACATGTGTCCTTGATGAAAAAGACTGCATTTTATCATCTACACTAGGCCCGGCAACTGGCTTCCTACCTGTCTCAGGAGGACCTTGCCACAGTAATTCATTCAACAGTCACCTTGAGACTGGACTACTGTAACACGCTTTATGCAAGGCTACCTTTGAAGGCGCTTTGGAAGCTGCAAGTGGTCCAAAACACAGCTGCCAGATTGCTGACAGGAGAGTCCTGGTCAGCGCATATAACACCTATCCTGCGGCAGCTGCACTGGCTCCCAATTAGTTTCCGGTGCCAATTCAAAGTGTTAGTACTTACCTTTAAAGCCCTAAATGGCCTGGGACCCTCATACCTTCAGGACCGCCTCTCCCAGCGTGATCCTCCCTGTCTTCTCCGATCTTCATTTCAGAATTTATTGAAGGTTCCTGGTCCATGAACTGCCTGCCTTGTGTCAACAAGGGTGAAGGCCTTCTCAGTAGTGGCCCCTGTCCTGTGGAATCAGCTGCCCGAAGAGGTGTGTGCCTTGCAGGACCTCCCTAGGTTCCACAGGGCATGGAAGGCTGCTCTTTTTGGGGCATCTTTTGAGTGATTGTGATCCACCAGGTAGCTGGTATGTTTCATCCACGCATCCTATCCTGCTGGATAGTGGATAGAATTTTTTTAATAACTTTTTAATTGCATTTTATCACCTACATCCTAAAGGGAAGGGGACAGGGGGTAAATGTTACGATGTATATATAAGTATCCTACATTAATAAGAAAGATCAATTTATCAAACTTCCGGTTAACGTTAGCTTAATCTTAATACTAGTCTCTGGTGTTTTATAATCACTTATATGCTGTTGAAACATCCATTTATCTTACATGTTTCTTCTTCTTGTACTTCAGATTCATTTTAGGTATTTTAGGTGCCCCCTTCTCCGAGTCTGAGGTTTCCGGGGTACTGCTAGAGCTACTTGAGGTGTCTTCTGTTCCTCCATCACTGGTTCCCTCTTCTTCGATATTGTCCACAGGTTTTTTGTCATCTTTACTTGGGCTTTGTTGTTGTTTCAAAAAATCTTTGGCTTTTTGGACAGAGTCAGTTTTATTCTTCTTCTCTTTATAGTTGAATACAAGTCCCTCTGGAAAAATCCATCTATAAGTGATTGAATTGTTGTGGAGGAAGAAGGTTAAACCGCCTTCGCTTCCACATCTCGAATGGAATGTCCTTTAAATTTTTAACTTCTTTGTCTTTAACCTTCAGAACTCTTCCAGATGTGGCTTTCAAAACATTGTCTCTAGTAGATCTCTTAGAGAATTTCACGTATATTTCTCCAGGCAGTTTTTTGACCTTTATAAAATCTGGATAGGTTCAGTAAGCCAAGTCCATATTATTTTGCAGGGTCTCTTGCTTAAGAGCTGTCATTGGTGCTATCGCTTCACTTAAAATTACTTTTAAATTTTCTCCTTTTTGCTCAGGAACACCTTGAAAGTGTAAGACATACATTGATCTTTCCATTTGGAGTTGCAGCAATTGGCCTTTATCTGAGACTCTTTTTCCACTTCCCCCAGTTTTTGTTCAATATCTTTGGTTTTTGTTTCAACTCTCTTGATAGCTCTGTCTGTTTTGTCTGCTCTTTTATCGATCTGTGTTAGTTGCTTTTGGACACCATCCAGCTTACTGTTGATATTAGACATCTGCTCCAGCAGGGGGCGCAATGCCGTAGCTAGCATATTGGGAAAGTCAGCAGCTGCTTCCTGTGTCTGGGTGGGAGTCGTTAGTATGGTATTTCCTGTGAGAGGTTTCTTTTCCGGAGCCATTCTTCTCCCTCTTCCAGACACTGTTTATACAAGGAGAAAGTTTTTGGATTTAAAGTCAAAATTCTCCGATTTAAATACGCTTTGGATTATTTTGCACCTTTCGGTCTCAGTTGCAGTCTCATACGGTTAGTTTCACTTATTTCCTTTTCTTTCTCATTCAGGGACTGTTCGGTTTCGGGAGAGGGGGTGATTCCCCAATTCTTCCCCCACCTGCCACTTGTTTCTCAAGTTAAATCCAGTCGACTTAAAAACTTGGCCGCTTATATGGGGGATCGCTAAACTCACTGTTTTTTCATGTTTAAACCATTGTAGGAGGGAAATCGCGCTAGATCACTTGTCCACTCGTCCAACAGCCAGCTCTTTTCGCCATAATGGCTTTGCGATGGCAGGACCTCTCGGGGTAGGGAGAGCCTCGATCCCTCAGCCGTCGCCTTGGGGGTGGCTCTCCTCTGCACCCCAGGCTGGGATTGCCCTACAAGGACTCCGAGAGGGCCCGGATCCAGCCAGGACCCTTCCTGTCAGCCACAACTCGGCACGTCTCCATCAGGAGCTCAATGGGATGCGTTCGAGCCTCAAGTCACCAAAACTGGAACTCTATAGTGGATAGATTTTAATGGGGATAGACTTTTAACCGTTTTAAATTTTAAAGATTAATTCTGGTTTTTTGTATTGTTTTTATTGATGTATTTTAAATGCTGTTAGCTGCCCTGAGTCCCATTCAGGGGAGAGGAAGCAAGATATAAATTTGATAAATAAAATAAATTTTGACAGAGATTGATGTAGTGCAAGAGAGGCTAGTGCTAGTGTGGCATTTATAAGCAATGGGAGAGGAAAGGAAATTATGCAGGAAGCATAAGCTGTACTGGTTACTGGAAGACCTGCCCAAGTCATTTTCGGTTTCTGAACTTTCAGCGGCCATGAGCCCTACTATTCCATTCCCCACAATTCCATGGGAAATGTTTTCTCTTGTCCAAAGGGGCTCCACAGTGCTTCTTTCCTCCCTTTGTGACCTGTCTTCTAGCAAGCTCTTGGTACGTGAGCATCCGCTGATATGTGGCTGCTTTTCCAAATGGTACTAGGAGTGCATTGAGAAGCTCAGCCTCTGGAGGTCTCCAGCAACTCTTTGATTTTTTTGGTAGATTTTATATGCACGAGATGTTGATCAGCGCAGCACCACCTTTGAAAAGTCTTTGCTGATGGGGAAGGAATTTCAGCGCCGCGCCAAAGCTATGATCCTGCGAGCAGCTGTCCTACGTAACCAGATCCACGTGAAGGTCAGCAAAGAGTCCTTGCCTGTGAATTTGGAACAGGAGCTGGCTGCTTTTTAGATAAGCTGATAAATAGTTATTATTGCTAAGGGAAGTTGGTTTGTAGTGAATGTAAGTAAGAGCATTATGGGCAAGTCGGCAGGTGCCATGAGAGTAAGCCACCCACCTGCTCTCATGTTCTGAATTGCATTACCTAATAGATTTACCTAATCTAGACAATCAAACAAGATTAGATTTATGCTTCTTTTTTTAAAAAAATAAATCCCTAGTCACTTCAATATAGCTTTATTACAAACCACTTTGTGGGAGTCTTTTTGGGGCAACCACAGTGTGGCACTGTGACTGAGGAGACCTGGGTTCAAATTTCCACTCAGTCACACAGTTTACTGGGTGGTCTTGGGCCAGCAGCTCAGCCTCACCTACTTCAAAGGATGGTTGTAAAGATAATCTTGAAGATGGAGAGCCACGTATGCTATTCTGAGCCCCTTAGTGTACTGATAGTGCGATGTATGGTAGTTTAAAAGGCAATGTTATCAATACTGTAAATAACTGAAGGTCACATAAGTAAAACAGTAGTCCCCACAACAGCTGCATTACAAGAGCTGGCAGACTGCTAAAGAAAGAGCTACCTGTGCCTCTTTGGGGCTGAAAGATTATTTCAGGTTTGCAGTAGCTTAGTAGTTCTTTGAGTTGATGTGTTAGCAATGTTTTTCAGAGGATAAAATGAAGTCTAAATTCTCTGATCTCCCAATTCTTGCAACTCATTGCTGGGAGCAGGAAATGTTCATCTCATCCCTGATTATTTTGGTGGGGTTGGGTAAACATGGTTGCACATCTGCTCCTCTAGGCTGACTCTCTAGGGGTTTCTTACATTTGTCTGCTGCCATGGCAACTTGGGGGATGTCAGAGAGGGGTGTCGTTCTAGCATGTTGCTCACTGGGCCTTTGGTCTGTTCCTTTTTTTGCAGTCTCCTCCTAGAGAAGGAAGCCAAGGTGAACTCACTCCAGCGAACAGCCAGTCCCGAATGAGCACCAATATGTAATGCTCTAGGAATCATCAAAAGACTCTTCCCCCCACACTGCACCTGGGAGCATGCGCATCCAGCATCCGAGCCACCAGTGATCCCTGGGTGCTGTTTCTGTCTCTCTGAGTGTGGGAGGGGCAGGACTGTTGGGGGGGGCATGCCTTAGGAGTCAGGTAATTCCTTTTAGAATTGAAACTTCCATTAGATGCCGCACTGCAAGAATATGTGAGCATGTGAATGTGCATCTCATCCTTCCCCAGGGTATTTCACAAACAGAGGCTTATCTTGGGTTCTTGCACTTGCTAACAGATCTCTGTAGTTTCCATTCAGTAAACCACAGTGAGAATATGGAAGGATAGGTGTGTTCCTGAAGAACTTCTTATTCACAGCATTGTTGTCTCCTACCCTGATTCTGGCCCAAATAGAGTGCCTCTCAGGTAGCACCCATAGGAAATCTGGTATCCTTTCCATCCAAGGCTTGTGTTTGCATTTACCCTGGCTCAGCTCCATTTCAGTCTGTTCTTCCCTTGGAAAAAAAAGAAAGCCTGTGTTCTGGCTTGTTCTTGCATCCCTAGCCCTGTTCTGGCTATTGTTTTAATGTTTCCTCATCCAGATTTACTGCTGTAATGTGTGGTGGCTTTCTGGCCTATCTGGACAACATGACAGAGGTAAATGGCACAAAAGAGCCTCCACCTGTATTCAGGCAAGATCCTGCCTGGCTGTCTGCACTCCCGGTACCACTTCTTGTTTATCCTTTACAGAAGAGGGTTGTGGTTACAGGTCAGACATGGATTGTGTTATGTTAATGATAGTAGTTAAAATGTTGATTATTCTGCAGTTTATTCCCTAGTCCCAGGAACAAAAGTTACAGATGTGGATCTAGCCCTTGACAAACAAGACACTGTCAATGATGTTTAGTTTAAAAACAAAGTTCTCTCTTATGCATTAAAAAGCATAATTGTAAAGATAACTGCAGCAATGAATTACTCTGGTGGCTCCCCCCCAAAAAAAACCCTACATGTGAAATTCTAGCACAAGAAACTGAGGAACCAACAGCTGTATGAATGCCCAGTTTCAGAAATGTTTATAAAATAAGGAGTGGTTGCATTGTAGTCTTTTCAAATGGCCTTATTGGGTTGGAACATAAAGCAGGTATTGCAATCCTTTCGGGCAGTCTTTGAGCAGACAACATAAAGGCTTGATAGTAAAAATATGTCACTTTTCTAAAAATAAGGAAGAAAACCAAAGCCACGGAATTGCCTCAGGTTTTTGAGATGTTAGTACTGTGGGATACAAGAGGGGAAATGAAGCATTGGGCCTTCTTTCCCCCCTGTAAATAATCCCTCCCAGACAATGATAAGGGGTGGGAACTTGGGTTGTTTGTTTGCTTAAATGAAAACTGAGCTTATCAGAATCCAAGTGCTCCTTAACACACAAAGCCCTGAAGGATATCCAAGGTTCAGAGAAATAGGCTGCCTCAGTCAAATAGCTGTAAACCAAACCAACTTTCCTGTTCATTGGAGCTCTGGCTAGTAGGCTGAAGTTGAAAGTCCTGTTTTGTTTGGCAGACTGCTGCCATATTAGTAACTTATTCTCTGGAATCTGTGTGGAGGTAAGGAAACAAAAACACGTGCACCTTTCTGTAGTCACCTGCTTCCCTCTCTTTATCATATGAGCTTGGAGCAGTTATATTCTGATTTGCATGCTCAGTGTATAAACTTGTGGAGTACCACAAATCCAGAGTGGGGAGTGTTTGGGTGGTCCATGATGCATTTGTGTGGCTTACAGTGCTGTCTCAGCAGAGTTACACCCTCTAAGCCTATGGACTTCAGTGGGTTTAGAAAGGTGTAACTGCTTAGGAGTGTCCTGCAAGCGCATCATCCCTTCAACTGCCTAGTCTCATGAGTACAGTACATGAGGAGAGGAAGAGTAAAATGAAGTCCTCCACTCAATGAGTACTTTTTAATAGCATGCCGCGTATTTGGGAAGTGTTTATGGAAACCAAGAGTTTTAGCAAGCAGTATTAACTTCCAGAAACAGAGAGAGGTAAATGCGTTCGGAACTGTCCTTTATTTCTGAAAGATGCTGTATTGTGGTTAACAGCACTTTAGATATTTATCCGTGTCATCCCAAGTGGACCTTTTAGCAACCAATTTGTTAGTTTGTGTGGAAGGAAATGCACATTCTCTTGTATAAAATAAGATAAAACTTGGTCTACTGCAGGCCTCAGCCTAAGAGAAGAGGCTGCTTATCAGGGCCAAACTAGATGTGACCAAATTCTCGTGGCTGTCATGAGGCCAGGGCCGCTGTTTTAAAGTCATTTAAAAATGCCCTGAGGGCCTGATCAAGATTGGGCCTGCCGCGCACTGCCTCTTGCCCCCCCCCCCCCCCCCCTTCAAGTGCTTCAAGTGCTGAAACAATCAGGGGGTGGGATGCAGCTATTATCACTTTATAGAGCATATGGGGGTGCCTCAGCCCACCAAGCTGTGGGCCTGATCAGAATCAGGCCCTCAGGGCATTTTTAAATTACTTTTACATGGCCGCACCTTTGTGGCAGCCACAAGGATACTGTCACATCTAGTTTGGCCCTCAGTTGAAACAAACAGTGGGGGGAAGGTTTTGCTGCTGATAATGCAGTGCTAGTTTTTGCAACCCCAGCAAAAAGTGACCTTTTTGATTGGACTCCTCAGCACCTCTCAGGCACTCGGCACTTTCTCCAGTTGACTTTGGAGATAGTTATTTCTTTCTAATGTTTTGTCCCCTGTGTATGCAAACATCTCTGTAATTTTCAAGTGGAGGCATTTTGACCTTGGTCAGCTGGTTGTGGGATTTCTGCCGGTGGGGCTTTTGCTAATGAAAGGCACCAAACAGCTAGTCAGGGCCAACAGGTCTCCACTGACAATGAAATTAAGAGGATAGTAAGGAAGCTCCTAGGTCTAGTTCCAGGAACCTGGAACTCCTATTGTGTGAGGAGGCACATAGTGGCAACTGCTGTCAGAGAAAAGCTTTTGGTAGCCCTTGAACAAAGAAAGCGATTGTTAAACTGAACCGACCCAGAGCTTTCAGAACAGAAGATCATATTGAAAATATTTTTTTTCAACTAGTGGGACACAGCTATTCTGCCTACTTGAATTGCATTAGCATATTAGTTAGGGGCACGCCAAATGTCAGGTTCATTGATGGCTGCGATTAATTTCTTCTACTGTACTTGGGGATTGTTGCTGTCAGTGGAGAAACTGAATCCTTTCTTTTTTGGGGGGGGAAAACTTGATAGATTAGCACACCATATGCTGAAGAAGGGAATGAGTGTGTGCTGCTTCTTGTTGACCCATGAGCATTTTTTTTGTCATCTTCTCAAGCTCCTGCAATCATCATAACTAAAGAAAACCCTCTGTATTGTGTTTCAAATCAGAGCCAGGTTCCTTTGAAAGAGCATTAATAGTATGTCGGGGCCTGAATGTTTCCTGCCTGTATTCTAAAATGTTTTGGTATGTAGCACCACCTGAAGGTGAAAAATGAGAATTCTTGTCAACTTAATTATTTTCTACTGCCCACTAATGGGCAGTAAAAATTTAGATGGGTGGAAATGTTTCTTTGAGTGACAGTTTCCATAGCTCCTTCTGTAAGGACTCCCAATAATTAGGTAACTGGGCCCAGACATGTGGGTAGAAAGTTCCTGCACTTCTGACACCATGCTCATGCCTGCATTTGAAAGTTTTGAGCTTATGGGATAGCTGCAGTTTCTAGTGTGGTACCTTAACCTCTCAAGCTCAGCACCACCTCAAAGAAGAGTAACTTGAAAACTTAGGAGAGTATAGTGTTAAGACGCCAGACCCTCCTGAAATTGTCATGTTTTTTTACTTATTTGCTCCACTGGCATTCAGCCCTCTTTCCTGAGCAGCTTACAATAAAATCATAAAGCAACAATAAATGTTCAGCTCCACCATTGTATTGAGACAAGGGAAAGTGCAGTTGGGCTGTGTATTTCATTGGTGTTGCACTGATGGCATGAATGTGTACATTTGTGAATTTGTACTGTTTGTTACACTTCCAATTTTCCTTTCCCTAAATGATTGAGGAGAAAGGACCGGGGCTGTTTACTAGGCTTTTGACCTGTGAACACCGTGGGACTTAATCCCAAATCAGTGTACATTAGTCTGTAGCCTGAAACAAATAACTGCATCCAATTGCTTTTCTTGGTGTTCCAGGGAATAACAAGCCATTGTAATACAAGTTGTGTCACCTAGCAGATTTGTAAGGGGGCTGTGACATCTGTGTGGTAAATGACCACACAATTGTTGCTGTAACATAAAAGCTATCTAAGCATCTGTGAATAAATGGATAACATCGCTGAAACTACCACAGGGGTGACTTTACCAGTGTTGTCACAAAGCTCTGTACGTGAAAGCCACCTAAAGTAGTAGTTGTGGAACTCCTTCCCCAGCTGCCACAATGGCTTGGCTGCTGTCTAAGTTTCCTGCTGGCAGAAAGAAATTCCACCAGCAGGGGATGGGCTGTTCTTTTGCTTATTCCCCCCCCCCCAGACCTTTTCAGTCTGCCGTGTCCCATGAAATTGTGCCCTCAGAGGTCAGTGGAGCTTCAGGAACAGTGTGGGAGTGAAGGGGGAGTCTACATTGTGAGGAGGAACTGAATATGGTGTACACACCCCGAAGAGCATTTCTTTATATGCTACATGGAGCATACTTTGTTACAGAAAAGCTGATCCTCAAGGTCTGAGAGAAGTACCCCAATGTGGACATACAACAGGGTCATTTTACGTCAATATTTGTGTGTGTGTGTGTTTTAAGTTCAATAGAACTGAAGAGACATGGGCAATTTTGGTGAAGATTTAGTCTGTTCTGCCCAATACTCCATTATATACAATGCTGTCAAGTAATAATGATGGGATTTATACTTAACATGTAATGGTCACTAGTTAACATTTTAAAACAAGACAACTATATTGTGCAGATCTAATTTTCTGCACAGACAGCTCAAGCCTGACATTGGTGGGGGTTTACCCAATATGACTCCGAGCAGAAGGATGTGGGCAACTAGTTACTTTGGCTGAATGCCCGTCACTGGTAGATGGTGAGAAGCAAAGGTCCGTGCAGCAAGAGGGTGAGCATTATCCTCAAATAGCTCAGAGGACATCAGGTAGGATCACCAAGATGAACTGGGGAGCAGCTGAAGAAGGGAGGACAACACCTGACCAGTGCTCCAGGAGGGGAAGGGACAGATTCAGAGATTGCTGGAAGTTCTGGTGAGGATTTCTCTCAGGCTCACTGATCAGCAGCAACCCATGTGTCAGGTTTGCTAAATTGGTGCTTAGGAGTCAGGCAGGGAAAGGGGTGATATGAAAGAGGTAACTGGGCTCCAAGAAATCTAATGAGCTTCATCATGGCATAGTGGGAATTTGAACCTGCCTTTTTCTCCTATGGGCTGCGGTGGCTCAAGTGGTTAAGACGCTGAGCTACAGGCTGGAAGGTCAGCAGTTCGAGACCCGAGTGCCACATGACGGAGTGAGCTCCCATCTCTGGTCCCAGCTCCTGCCAACCTAGCAGTTCGAAAGCAAGGAATTGCAAGTAGATAAATAGGGAAAGGAAAGATTGAAGGTCAAAGAAGACGGGGACGACAAAGGATGAGATGGTTAGACAGTGTCATAGATGCAATTAACATGAAATTGAGCAAACTTCAGAGGACGGTGGAAGACAGGAAGGCCTGGCGTGATCTGGTCCATGGGGTTGCAAAGAGTCGGACTCGACTGTGCGACTGAACAACAACAACAAATAGGTACCACTTTGGTGGGAAGGTAACAGCGTTCCGTGCGCTTTGGTGTCTAGTCATGTTGGCCACATGACCTCGGAAACGTCTCCGGACAGCGCTGGCTCTTCGGCTTGGAAACTGAAACGAGCACTGCATCCCTAGAGTCAGATTCGACTGGATTTTGAGCAAGGGAAACCTTTACCTTTTCTCCTACACCATTTTGGCTTGTCAGCAGATTAAGGCCTAATCTATTGTCTTCCTGTGCAAAACCAATTAGAAGTAGGATTTTTTAAAATTATAGTACTGTTTTGTATCAGAAGTTCCCAAGGTAGCCCACAATCAAAATTAATTATTTAAGAAATACAGGATAAATCCAGAAATAAAACCATATGTAATTCAAAGAAGTGGCTACTCTTTGTATGCCATCTAAAGCATTGGCAAAAAGGTTCAGTTGACACCAAAAGGATGTTAATGTGCATGCCAAATATGTACTAGTAAGGAGGGAAGTTCTGTCATTGGGCCACCACTACAGATATGTCCTAAAGATGGCAGTACCTAGACATGTGCCTCTGGCATAGATAGCAACAGGCAAGTTCATATGGGAATTAGCCATCCTATAGGTACCCAGGTTCCAGCCCATTTAGGGTCATTCAGATCAATTCCAGCCCTTTGCATTATGCTCTAAACCAAGCTGGAAGCTAAGAAGGGTGTTTTGTTTTTTCAAGATTGTGAAAGAAGTGCTGGATGATCAGGTGGTGACTCGTCTCAAGATGACTGGGCAACAGCAGTCCTGTGTGTCAGTTTTCACAATATATCTAATGGCAATATGTAATATTGATGCAATGACATCCTGAAATAAGAGAAATAAATTATGACTAGGGATCTATCTAGCAAAAGCTTGTGCTTACAGGATATAAACTGAATAAAATCAATAAATAAAAGCTTGTTAGTCTCTTGGATATCACAATTTTTAATGCAATCCCTGAGAGTGAAATAAGGGATGTTATTTCAGTATAACATCACCTGGGAGCCCTGAGTTTTACACATTAATCAGCCAATATGGTGTAGTGCTTTAGACTGGTATCAGAGAGATCTGGGTTTGTATCCACACTCTGCCATGGAAGCTTGCTGGGTGACCTTGAACCAGTCACATGCTCTCTCAGCCTAACATGCCTCACAGACTTGTTGTGAGGATAAAAGGGAGGAGAGGAGAACAATGTAAGCTGTTTTGGGTCCCCATTGAGGAGAAAGGTGGGCACAAATTAATTAAATTTTAAAAATCTCTAGGCTCAAGTTCTTTTTGGCATCACTTGGCGCAGCACTAGCTGAAGCAATCTTTCTGACCTCTCCCTTTCTGTTGGAGATTTCTCACTCTGCCCTCTTAAGTTTGTGCTCCAGGAGGTGATGGACGCCTGGGGATGGCATGATGGATGAAGTGGGAGGGGGGGAATCAATGAAAACTTGCCCTCCCCCTTTTCTGCTGGCAGAAGTGCTTTCTGCCAGAAGAAAACATTGCATAAAGATCCAAACTGCAAATGATCTATAACAAGTAGTGCAACACCCCACAGTGAGACTAACCCCTGCCTTGGATGAGATGCTGTCTCAGCATGTAAAGGTATGACAAA